TCCTGCGAATATGTTATCTTACTCTAATGAATACATAACTCTCCCAATCGCAAAGTTGTGAGCTCACAAAATATTCCGGAAAGGCACACTTCGCAGGATTTGGGAAGTGTGGAGCATGCGCATATAAGGTCGCTCACAGGATGTAGCACTCTATACTCTGTTTCACCTTATGATGTACCGCAGGAAAGGCTACAAGCGCGAGCTCCTTGCTCAAGGCACATCTTGGCGGCACAAGCTCTCGTGCAGTAAGGGCAGCTGCCATTGCTATGAGCTCGCGCTTCTAGCCTTTGCTGCGGTACAACATAAGGTGAAACGGAGTATAGGAAATGTATGGTAGAAGCAGTGTTACGGTAACCTTCGGAGTGGACTTCCGCTTGTGAAGGGTTGTGGTGCGTGACAGGCACGTGAAGAGCCAAAGTCAGATTTGTTTGGAGTGTGTGCATTTTGTCTCATGTTTTTTTATGAATTGCTATATGACAGCTATATGCTAGGTCTCCTGCGGCACCTGTGTTCAGTGTTGCCGAAAAATGCAGGCGGTTCGGTTTTGTTTGTTTATTTTTGACTCCTGTTTTGATAGGAAGACCCTGTAGCAGTTGGTATGGAAGGGACAATAACATATTGGTGCATGAGATATACAAAATACAGCAAGAAATGACGCTTTCATAGGATACCTAATAAAAAATAACTATACTGAAACAATCGAAAAGCCAGGTGGTAGTGGGAGTTAAACCCAACTTCAGACCCAGCAGAAAAGAAATATAAATTAAATGTAAGTCCAAAAGGGGAGAGAGCACTTAAGGAGCCCCCTAAAAAGTAATGATCACTGAATATTACCGGTAGTTACTAATTTATTATACAGCAGTCGCAGGTTTCTCCATAAAAGCAATCAGTCCATAGTAAGCTCATTACCTGTAATGCATAATGCTGCTAACTTTGATGCCAGATGGAGGCTAACCTATTTCAGCGACATAGTACACTCATGCTGACGTATGATATGCAGTACGCCGGCGTCCGTTTCATTAGGACAATAATCCTTCCTTCGGGAAGGGCTGAGGAACCAGAATGTATTTATATACCTTGAGGACCCATTTCTATGTATTAGTCGAGCGACGGTTTACATGGAATTCCAAAAGTCTGCAAATAGCATAACAAAGACAGTAGGAACAAAGCATGTACAGGCATGCAATTGAGACAATACTAGCAGAAGTGCAGTTCCTGTTACAATTTTAAGTTTCATTACTAGGAGTAATAAAGACAGTGAGGCTTTATTGAAATTTAGCGGCGTTGGTTTCTCTAAGAATCTTGTTTGGCAAGAGATTCCGTTCCGAAGTTGCAAGCAGCAACGTTGAATTTGTGAAACTGTCGGCGACGTTGCTTTCGCTTTCCGTGTTGTGTTTGCGTGTATGCTTATATAGCTTGAAGTTAGTCTTCATCAACGGGCGTACGGTGTCCCAGCTGTAGATGAGCAATTTAGCCAGCGCAGTACAACCGCTAGCCTGGGCTCTTTGACGCGCACCACGCAGTAGATGATACACGACCGCACGCCGGTACGACGCTCATCCAGATCGAAACAAGCAGGGGCGGGGATTGAACCCAGGATCCCCGCGTTCTGCGGTGTAGTCTCGCTTCTCGCCCATCGCCCAAGTCTCGGAGCGCTTAGATGAGAGGCACTAACGCCGCGCGGAAAACCGGCAAGCACAGAGCCAAGACGTCTTTCGTCCTTTCGTCTTTGCTGCGACGCGGGATCGAGCGGAAGAAAAAAAATTGACGGCATTGTTCTCTATTTCGCATCAGTCATTCTTTTTGCGAGTCAGTCGGTCTTTTACTTCTTGTTCCTTCCGAAACGGTCGGTACAGCTGCAAAACGATGCCCATTTAGATATTGTACTTCGCTCACTCCTAAGCCGACAGTGCTATGCAAGCAACGGTCTCGTTGGACCAGTTGCGCGGCTGTCTTCCACTGCCTGATCGTGCTCCCATCTGCACCCGTGCGCAGAAAGCAGGGTCAGGTGTTGAAAGGGAGGCGGCGATTGGTTGGGCGAATGCGTAGCCCCCCCTGCTCTGTCGGCTTAGGGGTGAACAAAGTAAATGCTAGCACCACTAGAAACGAAAACATAAGTAAAAAGGTGAAGGAAAAAGATGTATTTGCTGGTGATATCAGGCATCTTGTAGAACGACATTTGATGTCTCGAAAGATGACGTAAGCGTCTCTCCTCCCGTCCGAGGACCTCTACACGGCAATTATTCGTGCCTAGATTCTTACGACAATCGAGAAAGAGCTACCCAGTTGTGGCTCAAGCAGCGGCACGTTCACGCACGAAGACCGACGAGGACTTCTCCCAGTTCTCCCTTTTTTCTTTCTTCTTCGGCCACGAGTGATTACGCCTACAGCTTAGAACATATGAAGAGCTATGAGCCCTCTGCAGCATTACGTTCATAATTCAAAATATTAGGACACGCATATATTAAGAAGTTTTATCACTCCCAGAACACCGAAAACATGTTGAATTAGGGTACAACACTGCTTCTAGGGCTTTTTCTAAATTTGTGATTCGATTGGAATGGAAGTTTTCTAGCATATTTGCCTTTACATTCAAATTAGAAATGTATACTCGGTTTTGGTATAGATTAATTAGTTTGGATATGATTAAACATTTCATCTGCAATGATCACCGCAATACCCCAGAAATAGCCCACCTAAAATCGAGAGAAAATCGGGTGAGAAAAGGGGTGGGCTAACTTTCGGAAGGCAATCAAGTAAAGTTGATAAAGTGCCATTTTTTGGATTGTGCATCCGTTAGTGGTGCAAATATCGATAGTCGGCAGAAACCTGACTATCAATAGTAAAAAAACTATTGATATTACTATTGATAGTCTACTATCGAAAAACTATTGATAGTCGACTGTCGAAAACCTATGTATAGTACTATCGATAGTCGACTATTGGAAAATTATTGTTAATTGACTATGGGAAAACTATCGATAGTTGACTATCGTAAACCTATCGATAGTACTGTCAACAGTTTACTATAGATAGTTTTGCAAAACTAGTAGTTTGCGTCGATCCCTCTTCTCTTTTTCTCGATTTATTTTTTCAAATGGGACACAAACTAGCCCAAGCACTTACCATAGTGGTGCAAAACTATCGATAGTATCGATAGTCACCAGAAATTTGACTATTGATAGCAAAAAAAAACTGTGGATAGTCGACTATCGAAAAACTATTGATAGTACTATCGATAGTTGACTATAAAAATCTATTGATAGTACTATCAATAGTTGACTATAAAAAAATTATTGATAATACTATTGATAGTCGACTATCGAAAAACTATCGATAGTACTATCGATAGTCGACTATCGTTAGTTCTGCGGAAATATCGATAGTTTTGGAAAAACTATTGATAGTACGGATAGTCAATTTATCGATAGTTTTGCATCACTAGCGTCCGTGCCAAACTTTTTATCGGGGCGAAAGACAGTGAGGCAAAAATAACTGTACTTACCACAGTCAGCAATGTTCGCTTATATTCCGCCGTAGCTAAATAGCCACATTTACGCCTGGGACATTATTGATCTGAACACTATGATTAGTAAAAATAAACTGTCCTTCGGTATTTCAATCGGGACATTACGGTATGGGCGGTATTAAGACAAACTCAAAATTTTAAATTAGAAAGTAAACGTAAAATTAGAAAGTAAACATATCTTAGTCAACTATTGTAAAAGACAGCGGAAGCGCCCCCGTTGTTCGTGCGCCAGCTATTAGCATTTCCAGAACTTGGAAACCCTGCAGACTATACGTTGAGCAGCCGATTTGACGGGACAAGTGCCCCTGTCTAGATTAACCTAGTTTTCAATGAAAGTGGCTTGGGCGCTCCCCCAGTATTTTACGGTAGAAGATCTAAGGAATTCAATAAGTTATAAATGAAGTCTAAGGTTATTCATAAGCTTTTTTTTCTTTTTTTTTTATACTGAATATTTTTAGTTTTGAGGTTAATTGCCACGGGAAATGTCCAAGGCATATAAAAGAATAATACTTAAGCCATATTTAACATATTTAAATCCCTCTTGGATACCTCAGTCATACTTCTACCACGAAAAGGGGAAATGACAAATCGGTTGTATACAGGTGGAGATAGCCTTCATAAAATAGCAGTGTATAAATAGCTAATTGTGACATAACAGGAAACAAACATTCACAGACCCAATTTACTCTTGAAGGGTGCAAAAAACACGGATGAGAAAGAGACACATACAAAACGCACTGGTGCCAGTCCGTGTTGTATGTGTCTCTTCCTCTTCTGTGTTTTTTGCACTTGTAAGTCCTCCAGGTCACAATGAACCAACTAGGTTAATCCTAAGTTTTAATCCACTTTACTCCACTTTCATAGAAATATCTGAAAATAAATAGTCATTTCACGAAAATACTCGAGGTCAAGATGAAAAATGCATGCAATCTTCAAAAACACAATTTCAGAAATGTAATTTTTTTTTTTTTTTCAATTTACTCATTTTGAAAGAGCGGTGTACCCCCTAATGTGTTGTGTTGTCGCTGAAAATGAAACAATTGAAGGGACTTTAAAAGTTTTTCCACGCTGATCCTCTCATTTCGGTTTGAATTTCGCTTGCATTTATAGCAGATACACGACTCCCAGTGTCTTGATGCCTTGTTCCGGCATTTGGCATCAAAGAATAAATTGGTTTCTTGGTCTGTCAGAGGTCCCCTAGTGCGACAAGTAATCAAAATCATCCATTCTTGCCGATAATATTAATCTGTAATGATTCCCAAATAACCACGAAACAATGCCCATAGCTGTGAGCATAGAGGGGACACTGAAGTTAATTGTTTTCTCGTACTTAATGACGGATATCTGGAAGCAGTTTTCTTTGCTTTTGCTTTGCTTTCAGCTGCGTTGAAAGAGTTTATTATGCACTGTTCTACGAATGGCGTAGAAGAGAGTTTATTATTAATGTGCTCTATTGAAACTCGCATTCCAGACGGGCTGCCTGTTAAGCATGAACGAGACGACCTCAAACCTGTCAAAAACCGAAGGTGAGTTAAGCAAACTGGTTGGCCTTCTTGTGTATGTTGCTGTTGTTTGAACCATGTTTCTTTAAATAAAATATCAGGAAACTTTTGATGAGACAATATCCGGTTCCAAATATGGGATGTCGTAGCAAATGTGATTATGCTTGGGACAGCCAACCCAACAAGGGATCTCGAGATCATTAGAGCCCCAGTGTTGCTGTGTGCTTTAAAAATATATTTTTTCTCATCGGTGGCACTGATGATGATCTCAAGGTTGAAGGGGCGATGCAACAATTTCTGTACTTTCAGTCTGCTTTGCAAGATTTGAAAGGCTGAAACATGCAAATATTTCAGTACTTCTTGTTGGTACAGTGGCACTAGAGAAAAATAAATGACCATTTTGCTTTCAGCTGTTTTGCGACTCGCTAGCTTGGTGTTTTCCTCTTGTTCATGTTTTGGGCTCCATTGAAACAATGTCTTCAAGAAAAATTAAGAGAATCTATAGACCTTTTTTTTTATTTAATAAGGCTGGAATGAGAATTGTAAATTAAATTATTGAAAAACCTACATATAATAATGGATTATGAAGCAAGTCTGCAAGTTACATATCAAAGGAATAAATCCTTTACATTTATGAACAATAGGAGAGGAATCAAGTTTTGTTCCCACCCACTTGTTTTTACTCTTGAGTCTTTAACTATGTTTTTTTCTGTTTTTTCGTTGCTGTGGGCAGCTTGCAAGTCTTCTTTCCAAAACCAACAAATCTGTGATTATCTGTTGATCATAGATTATCCCATTAATCAATATTTCAGGAGGTGGAAAGATGTGGAACCAATTTTCGAAAGTAGCTAAAGAGAACAACAAACCTTTTGGAGCTAATAGAAGTTACCAAATACAGATGCTTGGCTTAGAAGGAGCAATGAAACGATGTAAACTATATAACGAAAGGATAGTCATCTGATTTTTACTATTCATTACTGTTTTATGGTACTACCTTCGATTTGGAATTAGCAAGGTGCTCAGTGGTTTGAGTAGCTAAACTTCCCCAATTGATCTAGAGCGCATAAATTTCCTCCAGCAAAATCAGTGTAAACATTGTACTTGTGCATCCCTTGATCAGGGCTCGCATTCTGTCGGTGGCCAAGTTTGGGCCACAAACAAACAATAATATTGACGCTTTCTTCACTCCTCTTTTACCGTCAGCTCTTTTAAAGAAGCTCACGGAAGAAATGAAGTCTCTAAGAGAAGCCAAAGAAAATGCAGCTGCCCAACTTCCGTGAGTATGGCGCAGTTCATCTCCCGCAAACCTGTCCAACGATCTGCGTTACACCCCACTAAGTTCTGCCACATTTCAGTGAGATATGTTCCAGATGTTAAAAGCTTGTCGCGATGATATCAGGTAAAATACAATACCACTTTTATACGTAGTCGCTGACAAGATGAGAATGGCAGCAAGGTGGTAAGTCGGTCTAGTTGGCGATTGTTGTACAGGATGAAAGACAGCACTTGAGGGGACAGGACAAGGGAACAAACACAGGAGACTTGCGCAGTGACTCACAAATAAAATATGGTAAAGAAAGAAGAGGAACCTGGCAGCTAAATACACGAAAGAGAACGAATATTTCAATTATGAGTCAGCGCGTGCTTGTTGTGTGTTTGTTCCTTTGTCCTGTCCCTTTGAGCAATGTTTTGCATCATGAGGGTGGCAGGGAGTTGTCCTTCCTCCAGCGTAAGCTTTCTGTCTTCAACAACACTGTGGAAAACAAAAATGTGCAACTGATTGCACAGAGTGTGCCGCGATCGACAGCGATAGCTGTTATGCAATTGAAAGATGTGCTTTGGAAGCTTTGCTTTTATACTCAGGGGCATCTTTCTGCGGCAAAGTTTGGCAACCGAAAGTTGTTAAAACGAACCAAGCAAGGGGTGTGCAATGTGTATGCACAGGTGATAGAGAGGGTACCGGGACTTTCCATTTCGTCCGTACACCGGTTGGTTAGCGAGCTGACCGGCGTAAGCGAGCAGGTGTCGAGATTGATCCCAGGATCCCACAGCACAAGCTTTCGCTATACATGTTCCGAGCCGCGGTGTGCCACCGTCCCCCCCCCCTCTCGTAGGGCCAGTGATAACTAAATATGATCCAAATTGGATTTGACTTTGTGCCGTAGCATGTGCGCACTCTTATTTTGATGTGTTGCGCCTGTGTGCTACGATTTTTCGGCACCAGAAGAGTTTACATATTAATGACCTCAAATACTGCAGCACCGGTGAATTTCACGTCGTTTCTTATATTTATGCTGCAAATCGAAATCTGTTACAAGACAAACACAATTCGATAAGATCGACCGCGGTTACCTGTTAATTTACCTCGTAAGTCGGTTCGAGTGTTTCAGTCAAAGCATTTGCTCGTGTACAGAAACAAGTGAAACATAGTGAGAGACGTGTGGATGCAAGGGGGAGGGGGGGGTGTGAAGAGAGAAAGAGAGATAGCTGTTGTGCATCTGGCCATGGACTACACGATTGTGAGAGGGGGAACGGCAACGGGGAGAGAGTGGTATCGCAGTACGACCCTCACCCTCCGAATTTTGCTGAAAAGAAGCATTAACAACTGCCACTGTAAAATGACAAGTTTTGTGCATGATTCATGCAGTGCACAAAGTATTTCTTACCAGGTTTTCCCGTTGGAAAAAAAAAATGTGGGGTATTTCGCCTTTATTTGACCCATGCTAGGCCATTACCTGGTTTGCATGCTGGTGATGCCAATGAATGGTGTGAACTCTCTACGTATAATTCCCGCCAAAGTAAAACGAATATCTAAATCTGTTGCAATACAAACAGAATTCAATGAGATCGACCGCGGTTACCTCGTAATTTACCATTCCGCAGTGTGAAGTGACGATGCATATTGTGGAAAAATAGCCGGTGTTGCCACTGAGGTGCAGGGCATTTTCAGAAACGACAAGCCCGTCTACAGCTCTGTTTTCTTTTACAGTTTTGTTCGTTATTGTTTCTGCAATGCTAGTTTCTGTGACTATTTTCTGCAAATACTTGTTTCTGCACCTGTTTCCGTCATACCTATTTTTTTTTTTTACTGTTTCCGTAGCCATTTTTTTTTTGTTACTGTTTTCTTAATACTTGTTTCTGTGGTTGTTTATGCAATATACATGTCTTTTTTCTATTGTCCCATTATACTGTAAACAACTTAACTTTCGTTAATTTTGCGATTCGGTAAATATTGCAAAAAATCAATCATGCTATACTCCGTTTCACCCTCAGTCCGAGCGCAGCGGACGTTAGGAGCCATCCCAGGCAATCCAGCGTTGAAAGAATGTCATTTGACCTTGAGCTCCCTGTGTCGCTCAGCTCAACCGGCAGGTCACGCGATTTTCTCCCGGCGCTGGATCTGCTGGGATAGCTCGTGGCATTCGCTGCGCTCGGACTGAAGGTGGAACGGAGTATAGTGTGGCAGTCAATGGTAACAAATCCACAGCATCGCAAATTTTTCTGCTTTGTGCTTGGGGAAATATTTCCAAAACTCACATTCCACAACATTAAAAAAATATTCAGTCTGCGAAGAAAAAAATATTTTTATGCCGTCGTATTTGTCTGCGCGAGTGTTTTCGTAATAACCCCCCTTTTTTTTACTGTTTCTAAGATATTTTTTTTCTGATTGTTTCAATAATACCCCTTTCTGTGGCTGCTTCCGTAATATAGGGTAGCTACGATAGATCTGGCGCAGTGATTTCATTCGGAAATATTGGTGCCTTTACATAGAAAGCTCGAAGTCTCACTGAATGTACATCGAGGTAGTGCATTTACTGATGAAATTTTAACGCATAGCTCTCTTTCCATTAAAAACAGGACCAACTAACCTGCCAGGGTCAATGATGGACGGCTTCGCAGAAGACCGAGTACTTGATGCTTGTAACGTGTGGTGCTATCTCCCGATAGGTGCAGCGAACAGACGCACTGTGGCGTCTGCTCGCTGTGTCTGTCGAGAAATGCTGCCACGCGTTACAAGCGTCGCTAACTCGGTTATCTGCAAACTTGTCCGCCGATGACCCGGGCAAGTCGGTTGGTCTTATTTTTCCCAGAAAGGTAGCTATGCATAAAAATATCATCAGCTAAAATGCCCTGCCTCCAGGCACGTTTGGTGAATGTTCGAGCTTTCTACTTGCAGGCACCGATTTTTCCTGCTCGTTTTGCGGTGTAAGCTTACCACACTTGCTTGTGACCTTTACCGTCATTTGCATCCCACCGTTTCTGTAACAGTCTTTTTTTGCGTCTGTAACTTACTCTAAAAGACCTTTTCCCAGTAAGCTTCCGCTCGTGCGTACACCCCATCTCCTTGTGTTGCTCCTCCCATCGCCACTTTTGCGGGGCAAAGTTCCGGTCGACCAACATATTCAGCACCTATCCTGGCACTTATTTTGCCTTTCTTGGCCATTCTTGTTTGGGTGTACGCTAGTGTGGCTCATAAAAGGCAACAAAGATTGATGCAACAGCACGATGCCAATGTATTCTGATGGTCGCAAGCAAGTTGGGCTGCCCGCGACTTGTAGTTTGAAGACAGTTCCGCAGATGGCGCTCGTTAGTGGAGAAAAATCGATTCCACGCTGCCATCACGACAGCTATTTGTGCATCCATACACGAGACGGTTGACTCGCTGCTTTTTTTTGGTCCGCAGAAATGCAATACAGCCATCGAGTTCACCCGCGGTGGGGGCGGCCAAACAGGATAACGCTCCCAAGAAGGAAGATGGCGTCAATGCCGGAAGCGCACAGGACACCACGGTAAGCGACGGAATTTTCCTTTCTGACGGGTCTTTGGGAGCCTGGGAAGCTTCCGGGTATCGTGCGAGCCTTTCAAAGACCCTTATATGCAGGCGTGCAAACACACTGATAGAAACCGGGGGAAAGAGGGAGGTGAAAGCACGTGGGGCTGTTGGAACCCCAAGTTCTGACCGAAATGATCTGTGGGCGGACGCAAAGGCAGCTAGCATTGCGTTTACCTGCGGATCATTCCAGCCGGAGCGCAGCGGTCCGACGTTTCCGCACACTTTCACTTCCTTCTCGTCCACTGTTCCTTTCCATGTCACATTTCACACTGTGTATGTAATATGACTCTGAAAAAATTTACCGCGAAGGAAAATATATGATTCCATTTAATGTTAATTGAGTATGGATATTGTAATAAACCTACAACTCGTTTCATGCACAAAAAAATCATTTTTTTTTGCACTGCCTTTCAGAATTAGGTCAGCCTATAATTGTTGTAATAATAATGGTATTTATTTCCAAAGAATGAAGAAGCTTTAGGAGTAAAAGACTTCCCTGGAGGCTTGACAAACCCTTAGTGCCATACTTTTACAGCCACAGCATCACAGAAGAGAACTAAACACACACGAAAAGGTTAATGGGATACGATAAACGTTGGAAAATTAGTTTGTAGATTGCCTTGATCTCGTGCTCCAAGCACGAAAAAGACAAATAAAATTGGATCGAGGTACAATATCGTCTGCACGTACGGTTTCTGCGGGTTGGGTTGTTTCATAAAATGTGCTTATAATTAGGAATTCATAATGTAGAGCACGATTTGGCATCTCGTGAGCCTCAAGTTTTCATCTGCAGTCAAAGCATGGTGGAAGGCAACTAATCTGTGCTGGAGGCCGGGCATTAAAAAAAAATGCCTTAGTGTTCTCATCCTGTCAGTGACTATGGCATCGATTCAGGGGTTAATAATGCACTTATTTTTCACTTCGAATGTGAAACTAGTCTGCTGTTGGTAAAAGAAAAGCACTTTGGCCTATATCTGCAAAACAAAAAAAGATTCTTTTTATTGTAGACGGGTTTCAAGTGTAATTTGCAGTAAATTTACTACTTACCATGATGTCCCGAGATGCCCCACCCCCGAAAGATAACCCGCCCCCTATTTTTGGCATGATGTGCCATTTTTAAAAAAAAAACGCCAATCCTTTTTGGTAGGCTCTTTCTTGGGATGTTACGGTTTACTCATTTTTGCTTCAAGAACTGTATAGCTATTTATCGAAACGTGCGTGTTAAATGTCGAAGCATTATTTTTTCTCCGACGAGTATATCTTGTAAGAACTAGTACCTACTTTATGTGGCGTACGAAGTAATGCACAAAACGTTTCCTTTAGGTGATGAGCGTAGCATGCACGGGTAAAACTTTGCCCAAAACTTGGTGCTTGCTCTTTAGATGTTTCTCATAATGGCATTTGAAAGTACTGTTCCTATTCCAGTAATCGCGAGATAAACGTACTGTCATAACAAATTATGTTTCTTGTAACGGCAGTTATAAAGACGGATGTAGCTAAGCCACGCCCATAGTAAGTGGGTCCCTCTGTACGGGAAAGTGGCGACAAAGTAGCAAGCAGACGCCGCGTGACAACTTTTAATCGCGGACGGAAAAGCGAAAATCATTGCTTACCTTTCATCACTTTCATCCACAATTGGAGCATAACTGTAGCGGAAGATGCGCGGCCATGGCAGGCAACGCCTCTGCTCTTTGCACGTGGCAGACAGTGGGAGGGAGATGTCACTGCTTTCTCATATATACGTTAGCTTTAAGCGGCTTTATTCGTAGGTTTGCAGACGACTCAAATTACTCAAATCAGTATTTAAAAAATCAAAAGTTTTTTGCCACACAGCGTGCGACATGACAGTGACAGCTGTTAGTGCACATAGTATCTCCCACTTTTATACATATCCACTCTTGATTTACTCGACCCCAGACAACACACCTTTGCGGTCACTGAAATATGTTGGAATAGGACACATTGCACGCACGAGTCCCTGCCCAAGACTAGATTGAGACAGGTCATTACGAGCGGTGGGTTCCCTTACGTCTGACATTACGCGTAAATCGAGTTCAACAGCGAGGAATGTGTAGCCTTGCCAATTTTTTAGAAGACACTGCCGCCTCCCATGAGGCAAGTGCGTCCGCTTTGCCCGACGTCAAGACGCAGTGCGCGTGAAACGGAGTTTTCTGCCCAACACAACGCCGACAAGCATTCGGTTGTCGGCGAGATATCGGAATGTATACACGTTTGCAAGTCCGGCTTCAGGGCGCTGCCATCTTGCTTGGCTGGGGTGCGCTCGGACGAGTCATAATCCGATTACGAAGCCTTGCTAAGGCGTCGTAATCGGATTATGGCCGCGCCAAGAGCGCACCCCACTGAGGAAGATGGCGGCGCCCTGAGACCGGACTTGCAAACGTGTATAGCATTCACTATACATTCCGATATCTGTCTCTGTTCTCGAGCATTGGTGCTCAGAAGCAGAAACATTTGGCAACTACAGAAACTCTTCCGTCGCCATTTTTATAAGGACCGCGGTTCGCACATTCTCTTTTGCCAGGCCCTGGACCCAGACACGCATCCCAAGCCAAACTTCTAGCTCCGGCACGGCTCCTTGGACTGAAAAGGGAATTTGGTAAGGCAAGCACCGTAAATGCATACGCGTAACGCAAAACCCCGAGACGGCGGGTGAGCAAAGAATGACACCTATGCGAAAAGACTCGTGCGCAGCTTACGATTCGGCTGCGTTTGAGACTTCTCGTGTATGTGTCTTCCTCTGCTTGCCTACCGTCTCAGGGTTGCGTAACGTCTAATCTTCGCCGGCTTGTTTGTGCCTCGACTTTACGTTCATAAACATATTTCAATCCTACGGATCAAAGGCCCATTCATACATTTGCATTTGACTGCGCTCAAGTGCGTAGATTTCTCTTCTAACTGCCTAGAACCGGAGAACAGATTAACGCACTGGGGATCCCTACTGGGTGGCCCTGGAACTGTGTATAACTACGAGGGTTTTGCCGTATTTGTGAGGCCAAATGTACTCACCATCTACGAGAAACAGTCACTCCTAGCAAATGTCAAAATTACTTCCAGCCAACGACGAAAGAGATTGTAAAAATTTATACGCCGATAGAAATGGCGCCAGTCGGTTCCTATGTCGTAAGCAGATACCAGAGAAAGCAATGCGCTCGAGCACAGTCAAATGCAAATGTGCACACCGGCCCAAAGCCAAGAGATGCGGAATGTGCTACATGTTTTGAGCTGCGCCAGGCGTTACGTGACGTAGTCGTGCGATGCCGACAACGTTACCGTGTCGCTTGGTTGTCGTCGCACGATCCAGTTATGCCGACAACGTCACGTGACCGTTGTCGCGCCAATGACGTTTCGTGACCGGAGACGACGGGCGTCAAAAGGGGGACACGCAAGAGACAAGGCCTAAAACAGGTTTTAGGCTGATAATTGTTTTAGCTAGTTGAGTGCACCTTTACAGCATGTGCACCGGTGCTTTGGACCCAATTTAGACACTCTGCAAGTCGGTTTTTCTTTTTGGCGTATCGCACCGCGATTTACTACGGTGGTGTTACTAAGTGGTGGAAACTTGGAGTGGAAATATTGACGGATGAACTTATCTCATTCGGAAGATTAAAAAGAGCCTGTTTCGTACAGTATATGGCAGCGTTTGACAGACGGTGCGGGCCGTCTGCGAAATGCTGCCTGCGGATGCTCAGAGAGTGCGTCTTAGTGTGCCATTTCTGGAGCAGACATTGGTGGTTTTATTTATTCTTATTTATGGTGTGACACTTTCTGCACTGTGAAACTTACCGTATTTACTCCTACAATGAACGCACTCGCGTAATGAACGCACCCCCCCCCCCCAAGTCAGCTCTCAAAATTTCGACTTTTTTTTCACTCGCGTATTAAACCCACCCCCCACTGGGACGTCAAAATTTTGACCCCCTCCCCCCACGCGCGCGAAATGAACGCACTTTTCTATCCTGGTGCTGCGAGGTCGCGAATGCATGGGCAGCGTGGGCAAACAAAACGCCTTGCAAAAGGCGTTAAAAAAATTCGAAAAGATCCAAGGGAAGCAAGAAAAAAAAACATTGAGAGGAGCTTTTTTTTTTTTTTGCACAGCGCAGTCTGGACTTTGGGGTCGCGCGCCGCGCGCAAGGAGGTAAGAAAGAGAAGCGGAGAAGCCCTCTAAGCAAACGAAACAGCTTGCGAAAGACAGCAAAAAGAAGAAGAAAAAAAAAAAAAAATCACGGAACTAAGATAAAGAAACAAACAAAGAGGAGCTCTTTGTTCTTTTTTTTTTTTTTTTTTGCACAGCGCAGTTTAGTTACGGGGGTCGCGCGTAAGGAGATAAGGAAGATAAGCGGAGAAGCCCTGGCCTAAGCAACGCCTAAGCAAATAAAACAGCTTGCGAAAGGCGGCAAAAAAAACCAAGGAACTAAGAAAAAAAGGAAAACAAAGAGAAGCTTTTTTTTTTCTTTTTTTGCACAGCCCAGTTTGGTTAGGGGGTCGCACGCCGCGCGCGAAGAGATCAGAACAGAAGTTACGTTGATTTTTCAGGATAAAAGGTTCCTTCATTATGCGAGTAAATAGGACGCAAAAATTTTACTTCACGTAATGAACCCCCCCCCCCCCCCCCCAACTTTGCATCGATTTTTCGGAAAAAAAAGTGCGTTCATTCTGCGAGTAAATACAGTAACTGAAAACCCAAACAACTTATTTTGGGAAATATCCCACGCAACCAAGAACTCAAATAAAAGCGCGCTTTTTCGTTCATTCAGCGTCCAGTGAATCCGTAGTGCCATCTCTGGATAAGGCAAAGAAACATGGCCGTCCCTCGGTGTCTCCCCGACAGCTGCCGCTCTAAAAATCAGTTACCATTTTCTTATTTTCTTTGTACTCGGAGTTCCGACTTGAAATTTTAGCACAACATTGTGACCAGTGAAAGACATTTTCGAGAAAAGTTGCTACAAGATCCGTCCAGTTTTTTTATTTTTGCGAGCCATTTTAAGCGTGTAAATTTTCTTTTGTGACACCCTGTAGAAGACGCCGACAAACACAGCGCTGACTAAAAACTTTTCTTTCAGAATAAAATTGGTTAACACAAAAGAGAGAGAGAAAACTATACAGGGCATTCTTTTTTCATCGCAGTCAAGGTACTGGTTTCAGTCACAGACGGGCAGGTGTGTAAACACCCGGGCTCGTGAACCCTCTTTCTTTACGGAGTGCGGCATCGGGACATCTTGCTGTACATTGTAATAGATGTTGCTGTACTACGCAGTTAAAAATTATTTAAATACTGGCCAAACCTCGCAACAAGACCGCTAGAGAAATTCACGAGGCTTTTTTTACAGCGGAGCTGTTAAAAGCTAGTTTCCCCAGTATCGTGTCCGTGGACAAACAAATGTTGACACAAAACTCCAGACAGCTACCGCCATCTATGAGCGACAGCGGCAACCAGACAACCAGCTTGCCGTTGTCTCGTTGCTGCAATCGCTCATAAATGGCAGCAACCTTTCCAGCCTTTCCACTCTGGCTTTCACCAGAGTGGAAAGGCTGAATTTCTCTAGGCGTCGTCCTAGACATCGTATTCGAGGACGGTGCCTAGAGGACGATGCCTAGAGGACGGTGCCTAGACGTCGTCCTCGTGGTTGTCCTAGAAGTCATCCTTGAGGTCGTCCTAGACATCGTCCTCACGGTCGTCCTTGAGGTCGTCCTAGACGTCGTCCTCTAGGCATCGTCCTAGACGTTGTAAAGATAACAGCTTCGCTGGTCCTCCATCTTCACGTGAGGTGGAAGGGATCTACATTTTTTTCTTTTAGACATTATGGACCTTTTGTTTCTGTCAATGTAGAATCAATTACCCTTTCAGATGGTAAATGATTTTCTGATTCGAGTCACCAAGCACCATTGTGGCACTGTCTGCGAAACACCGCCAAAGACTGCCCGAAACAGGTTAATCTTTTTTCCCTTTAGATATTTATGCTCCAAGCTTCCACCACCTAGCTGGACCCACGTACAGTCCGTTGCAACTCAAGAAGGTAGGGCGAGGGAAAGGAAGGCCAGAGAGGAGGAAGCATACAAAACGCTTAAAAGAGGAGGAGGTTTCCTCCTCTCTTCTCCAGCGTTCTGTCTGGTTCCTCCTCCCCGGCCTTCCTTTCCTCACCCTACCCTCTTGAGTTGTAACAGACTGTAGTAAGTTCTGCGTCAATGTCTGCGGGCTTTATTTTTCTTTTCCTAGCGAAGGTTTTTTGTACTTGATTTGTAACGGCATTCTTATTCCATGTCCGTCTGTCTCCTCCTCCAAGGTAACCAAAGCAAGAGGGGAAACTGCCGTGATTGAGCGATTCATTCCAGATGACGGGACGATCTCCGCCATCCATCAATTTGTTTTCTTCCGAGCCTCGACCGCGGTTGTCGTCGTGCGCGAGAGGTCGTCGATCCTTACGGACGCGGGAGCATTTGCCAGCTGCCCAGCTCCGGTTGTAGTCTAGCTTGTGACATTGTGGTGACTGTGATGGCATCGTTTTTTTTTTAAGAGGTTGCGGGGGAAAGGGATGTTATTGTCGTTTCGACCGTCAGCTCATTTGTTTTAGTTGGACGCCCGTTCGGACGCGGTCTTTGGGAGTCCGACGGCCAAAGCATTTTTTTGTCTTCCATTGTTTGTGTGTTTGTTTGGTTGTGTTGAAGGTACCCTCGATTTTTAACTTTTAATTGTCACTTTTGTAATCTCTGACTGAGAATAACTTTGACGAGAAAAACTAAGGATCACTCGTTCAGAATCATCTGAATCTTACCTTGACAAGCACATAAAGACATGGTGGTAATTTCTTTAGAGGGCACAAATTAGTATTAGTGTCATTTAAAGATGAATGAAGGCAAACTTTACTGTATAGCTTGTTTAATGAGCACGTGAAATTTCACATTTGGTTGCGCTGTATTCTCATTGTTTTAGAAGATTTTTTGCCGCAACAAGAGGTTGCGGATGCTTGTTCTAGCTCGGCATTTAGTAGCTCAGCTCGGTTGATTCATGTGATGTCCCTGTTCAGCCATTATCATTTTCATTTATTACCTTTTCATGCAATATGCAGATTGTTGGATTTGGATACAAGGTGTACCTCGAGTTTGGTTTTTGTATGGAGTGGCGTGACCCTCTGTTGTTTGGGGTCCGTTTTAAAGCCGGTGACTATTCCATGTGCAGGCGTTTTAATGCTTTTCTTTTTTATGTTATATTAAACCTTGGTTCATTGCACTGTGAATTTCCCACTTTCTTTACTTCGAAAAAGAAAAAAGAAAATGGCGGGGCTTTACGGGGCGTAGCAATTGAGGTCGTGGGCCACGACTTGACTCCTTGGGGAAAAGACCACCCAGGGTTCGAACCCTCAGCCTTGCACCTTAGTGGCCGAAACAGAACCACGGGGGCATTTCTTTGGCAGTGGCATCACTAGGGGGGGGCAGCTGCTCCCTGGTGCAGCGCTCAAGGGGGTGCAGCTGGGCGATGAAGTGAATGTCGTGGCGGCCCACCGTGCCGCTGACCCTAGTGGCGCCACTGTTCTTTGTTTAAGGAAAAGAGCTAGGATCTTGTTTGAAAGTAGGAATAAGTGTGTTAATGTTAAATGGTAAAATGCAAAAAGGTTTTGATTGTTGCTTAAGGAATCGGAGCTCAAGGAAGAAAGCTGTCAGAGTATTCCGATGCGGAACGTTGCCAGCAACTGGTTGTTCCGAATTCGCGAGCCCGTCCTAGGTATCTTTGGCACTAGATGATAACTTGGGTCTGCTAAGATATGGAGAAGTAGGAATACTTGCACCGTTTAAGCCGAGACAGGATTGGGTCAATTGTGCAACAAGTAGCAAAAGGACTACCTGGGCAGAAATTTGGCAAGTTTTCATATTTCCGTTTCGCCTCGTAAGACGAAGTTTGAGCTCCCTCGTTAAGTTTGTTATAGTGTTCACAGGCATTGTCAAGGACAACATGTCTGGTCCCAATATTGAACCGTCGGACAATTTTAGCGAGCTCAAAAAAGCGGCCGACCATTTGCAAATTTGAGCAATTGAGGCGAGTATGTAGTGCATTAGACACATCCCATAAGCGAGCAACTCGTGAAGCAAAAGGCTTTCGTTCTGCATCGGTTGTGAGCGTGCGGAATTCTTTCCCTTCTTAGTTTCTTGGTGGGGAATCGGAGCGATGGGACATTGGTGCAACAGTATGCACCGCATCACCCTGCATGAAATTGGAAGATTGCATGTTTCGCGATTGCATTGTGATGGGGTTTTGTTTGGAACCAACAGCACTGTACTGACACAATGCGTACAATCAAATCTTTGCAACTTGGGTGCTTACCCGTAAAGCATCATGTAAGACGCATTCCCCGCAGACGTGACAAAATTATCTGTGCACATGCCTCCAGGATGTTCAAAGCATGTTCGCTACTCACGTGTGCTTTGAACGTGTCTGCAAATGGTTTTTATACGACCGGTGTGTAGGACAGTCGTACAACGAAGAAACGCATCTCGGTCGTCTCTTGTAGGGTGCAGTGCAAGCGCGGCTTTACAGTCCCATTTCAAGCAGTGCCACATTTTCAGAGTTTCACCGCACGACTGTGTCCAGTTGTTAGCCATTTGTCATTGAAGGCAGTCTTGGGACGTCATTCCAAATTGCTTTGCAAGTCCCAAGCGCACGTTGGCAAATCTGAAGTGATTTATCTCCAGCTTTCAGCGCTTCTTCCCCTATGCAAAATTTCCTCGTCACTAGGGACGTACACTTCTCCATCCATAATTCTTTTTTTTTTTTTTTTACTAAATGTTAGTTATTACAGATCCAAGTTGAGAGGTTTTCATTGTGCCACACTTTGTGGTCTGCAAGTCGCACTTCCTCGTAGGGTGGGCGTTGGGAAATTGCTTCGATAAGACTGCGCACATGCATTGCGATTGCGATGCATGCTCAAACTTCGGACTGCTGGAAGGGCGAGCTATTAGCAGATGCTCTGCCATTTCTCCTTTGTCGTAAATGTCTACATGGGTTGTCACCTCAAGAAAAAAGTTTTATGCATTATTCATACACCGCACAAAGTAGTTCTTACAAGATTTGGTTGTCGGAGGAAGCTATGCTTTTGGCGTTTGAAACATGCACGTCTTGATAAGTTAGCATGAAGCTATTCTAAAATGCACTAAAAAGGGGAAATTAGTTATTCTGTGCGCTGAGCCAGACTTTTTTTTACTACGGTTCTGGAGACGAAAAGGAGCACAGTTCTTTTTTTGCCGACTGAACTTTTGACATGTTTTTGTACATCAGCATTTATTACTTGCTTCAATTCATTTTTCTTTTGTTCCTCTTTGGTTGTGCCCTTTCGAATCTCTATCAATGTCCCAAGTTACTCCCTTACAGAAAAGGGTGGGGAGTAAGAACTACATTTACTCCTCATCCAGATACTTTTACCGTGGTTTCATTCTGTGGTGTGAAGGGGGGGCTGTTGGATTATGCGAGCAAGCGGCGTGGTCTTTAATCATTATGGACTTGCGGACTAATTCCTAATCCCCTCAGCTGCAACAGTTGCAACTTGAAAAAATGAATGAAGCATACATCATTATTGAGCAGGAATTCCAGGCAACAAATGAAGGACCTTAGATATGTACGCTTTTATTCCAATACAGGTGATGAGGAAATATGTTAGGCTGTTTGTTAGACACTAGGAGAAACATTTCTGCTGCACGGAGGAGGCATTACATACACACCAGTGGATTCCGGGATGGGAGACTGCTGATTGTTCGACCGTTCAGAGCTGTAGATCGTTTTTCTTTTTCAATCCAGAGAAGAGAGAATCAAAAACGGCAAGACGTGCTGCACTTTGTAGGCATGAACTGTGATGACTGATCTTCGTTAACGAGATGACTGAAGTGTGTATGTCACTGTTGTAATAAAAGATGACCAATGAAACTCAGAGTTTGTTAAATTGAAGTCGTAGTTTGTGTTTCCACCACTGGATATTTTCCTTCTAAAACGAAGGTGGTCGATGAATTGTCAGCCTCCTGAGAACTTCAGACAACATATCTTGGAACTTCGGGGTTTTTTTTCTTCTAGCAAAGTTTTTGCATGTTGCACAAAAAAAAAAAAAAAAATTGTGTCAGAGTTTTTGCAGCGAAAAATAAAATAAAAAAAGCCCAAAAAGGCTGCACTGTTTTTTTTTTTGCCAGGTTTAAAAAACAATTTGCTGCTTTTTCTCGTGAAGTCGCATGGCTTCCCTCTTAGCTGCAGTCCTCAATAGCGATTTACTTAGACCTTTTCCCGTGGTTTGCGATTTTAACCTAACTGAGAATGCGAAATAAAAAAAAAAAAATGGCCTTTTTACCAGCCTCGTTTAACATACAACTGCTTTATATACAATAAAAATTTATAACAAAAAAATTCCAGTTACGAAAAGTGCCGATTCATATGGCAAAATTCAACATGAAATGGCACTTATTATAACCCTGCAGCTGGCAACAGAATATAATCCTAACTGGTAGTTATCCATCCAGAAGTTAATGTTCTCTTGCATATCGCAGCAAGTGGCAACAAAATTTAATTTTCATGGAATGTCCCTAAAAGTTGCACTTCCGACAAACTCAAAAAAATATTAGACTCCCAAATACAACGTTCACAGTATACATTGTACAGCCATAGCCAATAGACTCAGCTCAGAACACACTGAAATCGACCAGTGACCGCGTTTCCCGGTTCACACTAACACAATTATAATAATAAATTCCTCAATGGTCAAGAAAGGGACAGCATACACTGCTCTGATGATTTAACTGCTGTTGGAATCTAGTTGATGCAAACCTCCATGAGGACAGCGCACAGGTGCGACGGAATCGCTCGCAAAAACATGACTAGTGCAATACAGGAGTCATGAAACAAAACAAAAAAAAGTCTCGGAAACGATTGTGGCAACACTGGATGAAAGTCACACCAGCCTACAAAATCATACTTAAGTAGACAAGAAAAAATTTCTACAATACGCCAGTCTCAATTCACGGAAAAACGACCCTAGAAAGCATCGACGAGATCCCTTGAGAAAATGAGAGCTACTATGTCGTATGTACAATCGGAACCATGACTTGCAATATGCAATTTGTACTAACACAAATTGGGCAAAAAAAGCAGGAATGCAAGAAAGTGGATTCACACCACACTGTCGCAGAAGTGTGCCCGAAATGCTTTGTGGGGCTACATGACGCAGAAAAGTCTTATTACTTTCGAAGAGGTAATATAGCAGACGACACTGTCATCTGCTATTCGTGGACAGAAGATGCACAAATGGCAGACGACCTGAGCAAGCAGCACGTGGCTTAAACATTGTCTCTTGCGCTGTTAATTGTACGCGCTATGTTCCAAAACTACCCAGCAGCAGGTAATGTAGAAGATGAGAATCTAGACTCTCTCGAGGCTCGTCTGCAAGCACTTCGAATCCATAGTCGTCAAATTCTAAGCCCACAGCAAGCCATAGCCGAAGCCACCATTCTTAAGAGCCTCGGACACTACTGGATACTTGTTCTGGAGGGAGATCCATCTCGAGACGCTGTAGCGCATCAGACTGCGCAATGAAAACAAGAAGTAATCGATAAATAGTTATGCAAGATGCACGAGAAATGGCTCCGTTTCGAGTTGACAACTCATCAAAGTGCGAGCATTTGAAAAAAAAAAAAAGTAAAGACTAGATAGAGGTTTTATGTCCGTGGCGACCTTCGTGGAAACGTTCGAGGTCAATTGCGAAAACGCTGGACGTAACTGAACGATGGCTGCTTTTGGCAAACGTGAACATCCTATGTACGACGGCTTCAGTGCACTGGCAGACGGCACTTGCACTCTTGTTATGGCAACCTTAAAAAATGACAGTGTCAGAAAGGCTAACGTGGACTGGCAGTTTTTGCCGAGGGTACATTGAACCATGAAAAACAAGAGAGCTACCGCATGTATGGAGCTGTTTGGCCGACGCCAAACTTCCGCTGCCAAAAGACGCCCTTGTAAAAGGGGAGGCAATCGCACCTCTGTATGTTTCCGCTACCCGACCCGTTCGCCGACCGCAGACCGTTCCACAGACGACACACTACTGACACCACCAACACCACGCGCTAGGACAGCTCTACAACACCGCACGGAACCTGGTCTCTTAAATACACACAGTTAAATATAGAGTCGGCCAAAAATTCTGAACCTCCAGACCCCTATGCCAAAACCAAAAAAAATGACAAAAACAAAAAGAACAGACATCTGGAGTTCATAACGAAAGTGAGAAAGAAAAAAAACACCATTCAAACCTTTCAAAGTAAAATAAAACCGGCGCCGCGATCGCGCAACGTTTTTCAAAACAAAGAAACCCGTAATAGCCGTTGGCTGTGTTTCCGATGTTAATGAAGTCACAAATTAAAAAAAAAAAGGGAAACAAAAACTCGAGCTAAGGCTAGTCACCAGTTTATGCGACTGAAAAGCACCAGAATCCTCAGGTGCAACTTCAACAAGCACCAGAAATGAAATAAAAAAAAAGTCACCGTGCATGGCTTCGACGGCAACATCGCGGGACGTGTCGCGTAATAGGAATTAGATCGAAACTGATGAATTTGGAGCACTCCTCCCATTCAGAACCGTCTCATCGATCCTTGTCGCCCTCTGCGACTGCTTTGTATTCAGCACGACAAGCGGTACGTATCATTTCCGAGGACGACTTATTTAAAAAAAAAATACAGCAACTTTTCGCTCCCAACTGGAGACTGCTTTGGCCCAACTTTGGCAATTAGTGTCGAGGTAAACGAGGCAGCACGCAAACTGCAGGGGAAGAAATGAAAATAGAGATTACTTCGTCAATGTGAAAGATGCTCGTGTCGTACGCCACAGAGGGAACAAACTCGACCTTTGCACCAGCAGAAACAATAACTCGCACCAGCTAGCTACAAAACAAAAGGTGATGACTCAAGAATTCAGAAAAAAAAAAAAAAATCTCAAAGTAATAAAGAATAAAGGTGTCACTTTCTTCAGATCGATGGAAAACTTGGCTTCGAGCCAGCGCCGACGATCGCACTTCCACGAGGGGTGGTCACTGGCCGCAGTCGCCGATCACTCGAAGCCGATCACTCCGAGCCGATTACTCGAAGCATATCAACTCGGAGCTGACCAACTAGAGCCAATCACCCCCCGAGCCGATCACTGGGGCCAATCACACCGGGTCGATCACCCAAAGCCGATCACTCCGAGTCGGATCCCCCACGGTCGTCGTCGTCCTCAAAGCCGTCGAGCGCAACGTCTTGCAGTAGTCCGCGCAAGAGCGCAAATTCGAGGAGGGCAAGGTGGCAGAACACATATTGGTCCGGCATTTGGATGCTGAAGGCACGTTGAGAGCGGATGCGCTCCACGGTGGAGCGCACGTCCACGCGGCCTTCCTCTTCCAGCTGTAGGATGCAGATGTCGAGGGTGATGAACGTGCCTGCGCAAGAGCGGGACCAAAACGATGCAGGGGGTCCACTCAAACTGTAAAACATTCAGGGCTGGGCGTAATACCGCTCCGCCATCTCCTCCATCCACATATTGTCTCCGCGGCACATGGGAACAAGCACAAAGGGAAACCTGTTTACCAAAGTCCTCCTACAGTTCCCTAAAGTGCTTCCAATTCTCCAGAACAGTGGTTCTTAAATCGGGGTCCACGGACCCTTAGGGTCCACGAAGCTCTGCCTCATCAGTCAAAGTTCTCTTTTCAGACTGAGAAAAACTTTCGATTTTAGGGCTTGTTTTCTCGTGCGCATGTCAATGAGAGAAGTCTACTTCACACTAGCCCTTAGTCATATACATTTATTAAATCATTATCATTTTTGACCTATACCTTTCCATTTCCCTCGCCACAATTGGGATCCTCCATCCTCTCCACCAATCCATAAGGGGTCCGCAAAACATTGATGGCTGAGAACCAGTGCTCCGAAGTGTCCCTAGTGGCTTTCCAAGGTGCTTCTAGCACCATATTTTTCAAACTTGTAGTCCATGGGCTATACATGTTTAAAAGTTTAAATTTTACACGGTGCGGATTATCTATAGCACTGGTTCACAAATGGGGGTCCCCACAAGCCTTTGTAGGGTCCCTGAAGCTTTTCGGTCAAGCCAAATGATACACTTGTTATTATTGACGCTGGCTGTTGCACAAGAGTGAATAGACCAAACCATTTGCACCGAGTGGGCAGGGTCAATTATTCTTCATTTCAGAGCTTCAAAGTTGCTTTTCACGCATTCAGCTTTCTTCATTTACCTTTCTATCACTGTAAGCGTCGGTGGTTGAGAACCACTGATGTACAGGTACGGACTACAAAAAGGACGCTTTTTCTAGATCGTTTGTCATGACACTACGAATTTTGTGAATGACAATCTATGCCAGGGTTGGCCAAGCTGACCCTGCCTAAGAGCCGCAAACAAAACTACGAAGCTTCCAAGAGCTGCGTGGGGGGGGGGGGGGGGGACTTTTGTCTGGAGCAATAAACAAAACTCTAACAACTTTCTATCTATCCGAGTCAAAAGCAGTCCAACTGTATGTAAGGTAGCAGTAGCACAAGACTACCAAACCACAACCTGTCTTTCGATTTAAAATGCGTTCCATTTTCCTTTTTCTGGAAGTGCCCGTGTGACCAGGAGGAAGTGGGGGGAGGTAGCCGCGAGCCGCACTTTAACACGCCAAGAGCCGCATGCAGCTCGCAAGCCGCAGCTTGGCCACCCCTGGTCTATGCTATTGACGATTTGTGTAAGATACAAGTTTCTCTGTTAGCCACTAGAGACAGGCACTTGTTGAGGTACGTGTTGTATGAGAATATTTGACGTGCAGACCAGACACCAGGTGTACGGAAAATACTGTAGTTTCCCGAGATGCCTTCGGTAGTTCCCCCGGGCATTCTGAAGTGCCAGAGTTCCTTCGAGTGCCGCCCTTTTCCCGACGTAGGCACAGTCGAGCTAAGAACCGAACGCACCGTTGTTCCCAGCACAGCAGCCACACTTTCCTCCTACATACTTTGGCAGAATTCACTTGGGTGTGCTCAGTCATGGTCGCATTCGGAAAAGGAGTTGGGGTTAGTGATACCTACAGCATGAGCAACTGGCAACTTTCAGCGAGCGAGTGAGCAAAAGTGAGAGAGCGTTATAGTGACATTCAGTGAGGGTGCAATCCAGCTTAAAAAAAATGCTGGTCTTTAATTTTTTTTTTTCATTTGTTGTGTTGAAATTTAGTATACTGATGTATTTCTCAGTGGTGATTTCAAATATGCAATTTGTTTTCAGATAGCTTTACTAGATCCCGAGTTATCAACCCAGTTGTAGTTTTAGTAGGTAGTCCTTACGAATTGTTACCATAAAATTCTTCAGAATAAATCAGAATTTTCTTATAGAATTGCATTCCCCAAGACATGTTTTCTGCGGCGATGCTATTTTAAGCCTGATTTAATGATAATACATCGGTAAAAAAACATTTGCAATCAAGTTCCACAAAACGGGAGGCTATATCTTTTTGAGACTAATTAATTAAAATTATTGTATGACATAGAAAGGAACAAAAATAGCATCACCGTATAAAGCTTGTCTCGGTGAATGCAATTCCATAACAATTTCTGATATATTCTAAAGAATTTTACACTAACGACCCATAAGGGGGACCTAATTAAAATTACAAATGTATTGATAACTCATGATCTAGTAGAGTTATCTGAAAACCAATCGCGAATTTGAAATCACCACTGAAAAATACATCAGTATACTAAATTCCAACGCAATAAATGAAAAAGTAAAGTTAGACCAGAGTTTTTTTTAAAAGGCCGCCCGACTTTTGTTAACCCTTTGACGGTAATCGCCGCACATGTACGGCGACGATGACATTTGAAAGTGTTACGTTCAAATGCGAAACTGCGCACGCCGTGAGAGGCGTTGCCATTTGTAATGCCTTTGGTGAACTATAAATGTTGCATTCGAATGTTGTTTCGCATTGCTGGACTGGTTATAGCCTTGGAATTAGATGATTAGAGCAGTCAGCAATTAGATGACTTTAATTGCTGGCTGCTCCGGCGATAGTGCCAATTGGGAGCACTGGCTCTTCAGATTCGGACTCCCGACGCTTTTTACAGCGGAGCTGTTAAGGGCTAGTTTCCCCAGGATCGTGTCCCCCGCAAAGAAATGAAGACACCGAACTCTGGACACCTACCGCCATCTATGAGCAATGGCGGCAAGCCACGCATCTGGTTGTTGCCGTCGCTCATAGATGGCGGTAGCCTTTCCACTCTGGCTTGCCGACTTGCGGCTGGCCATTGCTCTTTCCATTGTACAGCTCCGCTGGTCTTCCTTCTTCACCAGAGAGAAAAGGCAGAAAGTTTTTGGAATTAAATTTATAGGATGAGAGCTCGTCATCCGATGGGGAGGTTCTGTAAAGTTGGGGTTGTGGGGATATTTATACAGCGTGTAGTTGGTCATCCATTAAAGTTGCGACGAGACCGTCTGGTCAGGAATCAGAAGCCGCCGGAATGTCATGGAAGCAGAGGCGCCAAAATGAAACCAAATGATGACAACTTTTCGCCTTCAACGTTTTCAGTTGATGCTCGTAAACTTAAACAGCTTGCAAGCACTGTCTGCGCTCTTGCCAGATAATTCGGAAAGATCTCCGCACTGACCCTTTCTCTTATACTATTCCTTTCTAAACAAAACCGGACCACTGGAAAACATCACACGGAGGAAAAAAAACTCGACCGTCAAAGGGTTAACCATCTTCAAAAAGCTTTTCTATTGGAACCTGATCTTAAAGGGATACCACAACGAAATTTGGGCACTCATTTTTTGGTCTATATGTGTTCAAAAGGGCAGTATCACATGGAACATACCAATATCTTGTTAAAAAAGTCTCGAGAAGGAATTTTAAAACAAATTAAACGATTAGCAAAGAGCACCTGGTGGATGTCGCTAACGCCTCGTTTGTAATGCTCGTCTAGGAACCTTGACAGCTAATGACGGAGGTTGTCTCGTCTCCGGCCACGACGAGAGAAGGGGGGAAGGAGGAACTCCCCTGTTCCCGAGAATCCCTTTTGTGTGTCGCAGAAGTCGCTATTGTCCCGCTAGAAGATTATAGAAGATTAACCCGTCACTCAAAATTTGTACAAAAGCAGCCACTTCGGTGGCTGGAACGACTAGGCCATCCTCTCGACGTCAGCCTCGCCGTAGCTTTGCTCGTCTTGAGACGACCTACATCACGATTGCGTTGGATGTCACGTGCTCTAAGCTGGGCCTTCTCCGAGCGCTTGCCAGAGTGGGCCGTTTATAACTAAAAATACAGCCACCAGGATCAAAATACAAACGTGCGATTGTCATTTACGGATATTGTGGATCATATTCAACCTATTTTTGAACATGACGGGAATATTTCGAATTTCGTTGAAGTATCCCTTTAAGGGGGAACACTGGTCTTGGAGCTTTCTTCCTTATTTTTGTGACCAAATCCAATGAAACAGCATAAGCTTGTTCAGATTTTTACACTGATTTCAATAACTCAAACCTCGTGAGAATGCGACGCTAGCAGTCGGGATAGAATGCTAAAGTTCGAGAACACGACGTTGCCTGCATCAAAAGGTAATTGAGAAAAACAAAATTTCTCAATGAGGTGACGTCCACTTAAGCCTAATGTCATGAAAACAAAAAAATGACATTGTCTTGACCTGTAGCCTCTATTTCAGTGAAACAAGCTTGTCAGCAAGGAATAAAACAATATTTTCTTTCTTGCCGACGAGAGTTTCTTCGCCAATATAAATCCCACGAGCGTTTGCAATATCATTTCTTGCTACGGTGATATTAGGCTTAGGTGGGCGTCAGCTCCCAAAGAAATTCCAATTTTCTCATTTATCATTTAATCCAAGCAACATCATGTTCTCAAACTTTCGCGTTCCAACCCAACTTATGAAGTTCGAGCTTTCCACGGTGTGCAGTTCATTTATCCGGGCCGAAAAAACATGATTCTCTATTCTTGGAAACTCCCCGTACTTCAAATACAACGCGCTTAAAGTGCTTCTCAACACCCCATCTCGCAATATCTCGGAACGTTAACCGCCGGGTCGCTTGTGCGGGCAAGAAAGGGGGTGTCCACCCACTCACCCGTCCGGCCAATGCCAGCGCTGCAGTGCACCACAATGGGCGGTCCCAGGGGGTGCCCCTCCCACTTGGGCTCCATGCTGGCCAATGCCTGTGCCTGCTTGTCCCTCACCACTCCCCGGAAAGCCAGCATGGCCAGGGCAGAGTCCGGCACGCCGTAGTCCGGCCAGCTCGTGAACTGCAGGTGGCTGACCAGCCGCGTCTCCTTTGTCTGCGGGCAAATGGACGCCATGCGGGGCGTTTGTTCATACTTTGTTTGGTCCACTGTAGACTGGACTCTCCTAAAGGAACTTGTCAAGTTATTGAAGCACAATTGTTTGCAAACGAGCTGACTGGTTACCTTGAAAATTTTAAAAAACATGTGCAAAGAAAAAAAGTTTTTTTTTTTTTTTTTTATGCCGCTTGGATGTAAAAGGGATGTCATTAAATTATACAGTGTAGACTGCATATAACGCATGTCGCGGGAGTCGCGAAAATCCGCACTATAAGCGGTACCGCGCTATAACCAAAACATCAATTTTTCAGGCCAAAATACATGCCATCAGACAACTTACCTTTGTAAAAGAATTTATTTTATGTTAGATAAAAAATAAAGCTTAGTTTGAGGAAAGTCTTTATTTCACCAGACTAGTACACTTCTCTCTCAAGTGTGTCACACATTTTGAAAGAAATGAGCGACTTTTGCCTGGCGCAGCCTTTTAACGGCGTCGCGGGTTGCGGACGGACGTTGAGAGCGTTCAGGATTGCTAACCCTAATCAATTTTCTCCGGTGATGAAAACGCGTGAAAATTCGCATCCTTTACACGGTACGTGCCAGTAATACCTTCAATTTGAGCACAGGCATGGACTGCTCCAAATAAGAAACCCGGGCGATGTTCGAAAACACAAACGCTTAGAAATCGCCACTGTAGTCGAAGTAAACAAACGATACAAGCGTTTCTGCCGTCTTGAGAGTGCCGCCACGACATCGCCGCATGAATAGGTGGATCTTTCCTTCTAGTACGTGCTGGGTTATCATAGCGACACACAACGAAAATTCACAGTCAAGGATAGCGCTTTTACGCGGAACGATGAGCTTCCACCACGCCGTCTACGTCGATGATCACAACCGACGCCATGTTTGCGGATAGAAGCAGCCGGCCCGCGACCAGCACGCAACGCGCGCGAACACTTCTCCTCGACCTGCGATTGGTCTGTCGTTGCGGTTGTTTCTAATGCAGCGGAGGGACGCACGCACGTGAACGACACGTGCGTGCGTCCCTCCGTCGCTATGGCTACTGAAGCCTCTCTCTTCGCTTCTCCCCGCTTCTTCGAGCAACCTCCTTGCCCCGCGAGTGCCGCTTGCGGCTCGCGCCGTTATCTAGTGTCGCACAGGGAAGCGTGCTCGCTGCACCGGTCAGTCGGCGCGGTCACCGGGCTGTTGCAGAAACCGCACTATAACCGGTATTTCCCTTCGTGCGCCCGCATTTTAAGCGGTATGTAATTACATGGAGTTCTATGGGAGGCGAACCGGTGGTTTAAAAAATCCGCATTATACCCGGTCCTGCACTATAAGAGGTTACGTTGTAAGTGGTCTATACTGTATTTACAACAAAAAAACTTTTTTTTTTTTTTCACAGCTTTATTTAGGACGCGTTCATCATCATTACTTAGCGACTTCTCCACACCACCGTTGAAAATAAAACACTCAGGTGCGCCGCTGTCGTCAATTTCTGACTGGCGCGCAGGTCTATCATGTGGAGCTTCCTGTGGGCTGTAAAGGCCCGTTCACACTCTTGCGACTGAGTAAAACCGAAAGAGACCAGAGCGGTTTTTAAGCCTCTTGCGATCTCTTAGGACCAGCTCCGCTACAGCGCATCCAATCCTAAGAAGTCGCTAAAGGCTTAAAAACCGATCTGGTCTCTCTCGGTCTTACTCGGTCGCAAGAGTGTGAACGGCGCTTAAAAGTGACTTATTAATCTTTGTTTTTTGCTGCACTTAATACGAAGATTAATAAGCAACTTTTAGAGCCCATGGCAAGCTTCCGAAAGAGCACAAGCACCACATGACAAAGTGGCTGGCCACAGGACTCTTGCTGCTAATTTTCCGCGGGTCTCCCACGGGCGCCAACTACAAATTCATTTCATGGTGTAAATATAGCTCTAAAAATATTTTTGACGTCGTAAATTTATATAGTGACATCCTTTTTCCATTCAAGCTTTTTAAATTAAATTTTTTATTCCTTCGCATATGGTTTCTAAAGGGGCCCTCTAATGACATTTGAGCTTCTGCACTTTTTTTGTCATTACCTCATTAGTGGTTCGGGCTACTCAGCGAACAACTAGAGGCCATAAAATATTAGCGCATCATATTTTAGTTCGATCGGACAAAAACAGCGCAACGTTTGGCGGCACCCCAGCGTGTTCAAAACGTGCAGCTGGTAACGTTTCATGGACAACTCGGCAGCGTCGGCAAGAGCCGTCAAAAGTTTTTATGCGGGCTAAATAAAGTGTACCACTCCATGAAGTGTCGTCATTCTTTAAAAAAAATGTTTTTATTGGGTAATTTAGAAAAAGGTCTATTGGGACGCTGTCTACTTTTGTGTGCTATCAATACCCGGCCAATTGAGTCAAGGCAATCCGCTTTCCGAAGACGTTGCCATGCCGACAATTGTTGCGTTCATTTAGGCTTAGGAATGGCCAGAACCGAAAGACTATCTAAAAAATGCAGAGAGGTCATAGCTAATGCTTTGCGATTTAAGTGAGGTAAGCCTAAGCGAAAGCCTCCTGCACCATTCATTGCTCACTAACGTGCCCGATATTGCAGCTACAACGACATATTAGTTCCAAAGCGAGCGGCGCTCACTCACCGGGGCACTGCCAAGTTTCCCCACATCCCTACCGAGCCAGTCACGTGATTTCAAAATCCCTTTCCTAGGTACTGCGGCTAACTTTAGCCGCGGTTAGCGCTTCGAGCAAACGGGCCCTGATGTTGATCATTTGTAAGAAATGATCTGGCAACCCTGACAGAATATGACGCGACCAGCCTCCACCACTGCTTCCAAGAGTCACATCATGGAGTCCATGGGTCACGTGATGCCAACTCAGGCCCGCTACGCTCAGCGAACCTAAGTCTACAAGTAAGCAGTTTTAAATGTCCTGTAATTTTTTTGTAATCATAATTTGCTCATAACTTTTAAAATAATTCAAATTTCCAGAAAAAAGGCTTTCCTCCGCATTTCTATGTTTAATGTCTCGGCACAAGGGTCTTGTGACATCACACGTGGCGCCTTTATGGGAAACGTCCCAAATGCAATGAGCAGTTACGCCGACAGTGACGCCACTCAATCCGGAAACGGCCCCTAAGAGCTGTGCTCTAAAAGTGACGAATGGTCGGTTCGACCACGATCCTTCAAACACTGTGAAAGCTACGCTCCCCGGCATAGCTTCCACACCATCGGTTTCTGCACGTTCGACAGTTGGCCCATGGGAGAAGCATGGCCCACACGCGGATGGCACTCTGGTGGCGGAGGCGTAGCTTTCACTGCAGGCCAACTCCGCCGCAGAACCCCTCGCTTGCCTCGTAGTTGTGCAGCTCCAGCTCGGCCTGGATGTAGTCCGGCTTGGGGTCGGCCGAGAGCGTGGTGACCCGGAAGAGCCCGTCGAAGTCCATTGACGCCTTCACGGCCGCGGGCCAGTACTGGCCGCACTTGCCCCGACCCCGCTCGAAGGTACGCGTCGTCATGACGATCACCGCACACCGCTGCTCCCACACCATGCGCCAGAAGTCGCAGTACGTCTTGGGCAGGGGCCCTGCGACATGCGCCAGAAAACATGCGCAACGGCGGAAGGTTGGAATGCGCATGAAGCGATCCCGCAACGGACCTTCCGCTAAATTACCAAATTTTCCGGACTGCAGTCCGCGCTTGGTGTGTGGTCCGCAGGGGCAAATTTAGGTCGAAAAAGAAAAGTATTTCCTCAGATAGTTTGCCCCTGGTGCTTAGTGGGCACGTAAGTCTTCTCGTACACAGCACACCTTGACAAATGTCTGCTTTGTTCTTTCTTTCCTTTATTATTCCTTTGTTATTCTTTTTTTAAATACACAATCGTTGCTTGGACCCATAGCCGTGGAGGCTAGTCGCGGGTCCAACATTTGAAATAACCTTTACAATGCGGCAGGCAAACAAAACAAATGTATGCACACATCAAAGTATTCACAAAACAACATACATACTAATTGAAAAAAAATATATAGGGCATGATATTGAACTTATTCATTGGCTCGCAATTTAATTAAATACTTCTTTAAGGATGGCAATATCTTGGATTTACATTTGATGTCGGTAGGGATATCATTCCATACCAGGGCACCGTTGAATTCAATAAGCCTTTCTCCATAAACATTTCGACAAGATGGCAAATTAAACAGATTATTTGTTGCAGCTCTCGTATTCCGTAATGGTAATTTAAATATCTGTAATGGGAGTGGGTCGTTAGTTTTTATTATTTTAAAGACTGTTTCAGGTATTTTTAAGTTGTATAGGAGGTCTAGTGGCAGCACACCAACTGATTGAAATAGAGGACTATAGAGGTTAGCTCACTAGGAAGCTTGTATGACACATAAATCATTAACATACTCTTTCATTCACAAAATTCATCACGTCTTGTCATAACGAGCGATCTGGAAAGGAAAAAATTCCCGCATAGTCCGCACCTGTAGACAGTCCGCACTGCATAAAATTTAAACTTTCAGGCACGTTTAGTCTGCGGATTATGGTCTGGAAAATACGGTACCCAAGCACAAAAGAGCATGCCCCGAGTGTGGTTAGATGCGCCGACATATGCAGCACTAACTTTTCTAAAGAAAAAATCTAAAATGAACCAAGCACGCGGGAAAAGGTGAAGCCACGAAGAGCAAGGCTTGATGCAGCAGCGCGATTAGAGGCTGCTGGGACAACATCAAACAATGTCCATGTAACACCCGCTTTTGCGCAACTTGGGAGGAAGAAAGAAAATAGTTTATACAAGCTCTATCATGCTGGGAAAGACTGGTAAGCACAGAATGTGTGATAGGCCTTCCTCTTATTGGCGTTCGTGTGCAGGGCCCCCAGTAAAGGCTCCCCCTGATGCTGCACCCTTTTTTACGTTACCAGTAAGCTCGCGCGCAATCTGCGGCCGTCTGCTTCGTAGCAACCGCCGTGCGTCTGAACGGCATTGTCCTTCCTACAGCTGATAGACATTTGACGTGATATAACACTCCTGGCTTTCTCTCCGGAGCAAAAAAACAAAAATCGAAACGCTTCGAGCAATCGCTGGCGGGAGACGTAGCGGAAGCCGCACTGACATCGATATCACTAACGGCTGTGCTCGCCAGAGCAAGGGCTTCCTTCTCACCCTGCAACCCGCCCGAACCTTCACAGAGGTAGGTCTGACCCTTAAACGTGCCTCTTCCTATGGTATCGCTGCTACGATTGCCTAGGTCGTGGGTTCTCCGAATGGGTCTCAAGAAGCCCGCGACCCCCAGAATACCCTTGAGAGTTCATCGAACTTCCAGATTTTGTCGGCTGCTGCTGCTCATAAGTGAACTATCTGCCTCTTTAAAACTCTCTTAGAAGATCTGAGCCATTTGCATGTTGCGTCGTTATGCGCTAAGCACTTTAAATACGCGCATTATTGTTTACCAGGTCTCTAGACTTCTTTGCCGCTTTATTCCTTTAATTCCGACACCGGGAAAGCTTCCTTGGCTGTCTGTTTAAAGGGACACTGACACATCAAAATTATATTTTATTTTATTATCCGAAACAATTTAAATTGATGCCGGAACATTACCCTCAATATTCGAAACTTGGAAATTGAGTATTTGTGAATTAAAAAAACAATTTCCAAATGCCGATTTTGAAGTTCCCGCGCGATCCGCGCCAGTGTAGTGAGTCAAATTTTGCGGTCTCCTGCGACTCGACTTTCTTTCGGACCTCCGCTCCATGCTGTGAAGCAAAGCGCCGTTGCTACCGCGACCCGAAGCGGGGAAGAGGTGAGCAGACGGGATAGAAGGGTGCCGGCGCGGGGAAAAGCCGGTTTCTTCTCCGACTCAGCGATAAGCCTCTGCTCAAGCGCCAACAAGTTTTCCGAGGGAGGATACAGATCGAGGAAGCGACATCACACCGAAATCGGATTTTTGGTGTTTCAAAAAGAAAGGTCGTAGTGCGTTCGCAATTGCGTTAAAAAACATGTTTTACGATTGCCGTTATTAAATGTTATAGAAATGTCGCCTACAAAGCTTCTAAATTTCCTGATTTTTGACGTCACTGATCAAAAGAAGCAAGGAGGTGAGCGCAGGAGATATAAACAACAAAAATAAAAAGGCGCGCGCACGCGCAAAAAATTTTTTTTTCGCGATGCATTTTTTTTTTACCTTTGGGGTGTCAGTGCCCCTTTACGGTTTAAAGGAGGGGTCTCCGAACCCCCCTTGCAGGCAAGACCCGGCTCGCAGAGGCATTCTGACCCGCCCGTGGCTGATTGCAGTCCTTTCAATCAAGCCCAGCCGACAACCGACCCCCAACAGGCCTGCTGGTACCGGAGTAAAATTAAGTGCGCGTAAAGAAACAATGCCGCAACGTGCACTAACCGCGTAGACTAAGACCCGCAGTAAAAACAAAAGAAGACTGTATTGTAAAGCGTGCCCTTTCGTCACATTCATCATAGCCTCGTCCCACTAAAGCGACAAACACAGGTTTTTGTTTGATGACACCACAAAGTTCCGTGTCGACGATGCTGTCCCACTGCAACGACCAACACCCGCGACAATCGCCGACAAACGATCGACGACGGACGAGTTCTTGTCTGTCGTTGGACTTGAAGTGCAGCAAGCAGTCCCACTGAGGAACATCTCTCGGAAACAAAATTACCCTCCTCGCCCGTTTATGCCTTCTTTTGCCTCCCTTCCCACCCTTCCTCCCGGAACGAGAAGCCCTTGGTGGCCACTCCTCGTTCCCGGCCCCGCAGTTGCAGTCCCTCAATTGCACGTAGTGGTCGCGGGCGCAGCTTGGTGGCTGGCGCCGGGCGGTCGTGTTGCAAAAGGGAATTTGCTGTGGCTGGTTTTGCTCGCGAAAACTAGTTTTTCTCCTCAGAGTTTCGAGGTCAGTGGTGCATGCCATCATACCTCACATCCCCCGTCGACTTTGGCTTTAAAGGACAAGTGATCTGTTTTGAAGATGCAATTAGATCCTTCACTGCTAAGCGCAGGAATCCTTGCCCTTGCAACGGAGGGCACTAAATTTATTTAGGCGGACACGGCGTGGGAGGAATGAAATCATTCTTGACTTGTTGCTCCCGAGCAATACTGGACATTAGAGGGTTAACCCGCGGCGCAGTACGGCAGATCGACGAGTAAAAACTCAAGCCGTCCTCGACCGATCGGGGCAGCAAGAGGGCGAGCAAGCGCCACGTCACGGCACTCCCCCATACCCACCCTGGGTGGAGATGAAGGCGTTCTTGTGGCGGTAGCCGTCGACGAAGTTGGCGTTGATGTATGTCGAGTCCTCGTCGTCTCCCCGCCGGGCCAGGGTCACCCTGCTGTGGTCGTAGCAGAGCACGTCCGTGTACCGGTTCTTGCACTGGTTTGCCTTCAGCCTGCCGACGGAGGGAGACGTGAAGGCGCCGGCAGACTACACGCGAGGCGCGGGTGGTGCCCCCCCAGCGCGGCTCCGAGCACATATTTACCGCGTCCCAAAAAGTGGTCTTGCGATGTCATAAGTACCTACGTTGTTGCCAGCCGCGACCTTGCTTATTCTGCGGCGGGTCGCTGTCCAGCTTGACAGTCTACGGAAGCTTCAATGGCGGGAGTTGAGACGCCGCGACGACGGCGACGCTCGCATACCCTCGCTCTTTCTTCCGGAACTTCTACGTCCAACAGCACGACCCTACGACTCGCGCGAGGTCGCCGCTTTGAGACCGCTTTCAACGCGCGAGCGGAACGGGCCGCCGAACGCGCCGGTTGGAGGCGCGTTCTGGACACCGTACTAAAAAGGTCAGTTCCGAGAGAGCGTCGGGAGAGTGACAAGAGCCCACCTGGCCGTGAGGAAGGTGCCCTGGGGCCCCCTGGCCTTGAGCTGGCTGTACTCCTGGTAGAGGCCCTTGCGGCCCTTGACCTGGAGCTGCCCGATGAACTCCTCCAGGGTCACGCCCCCCTGCCCCTCCCACTGCGAGGAGGAGGAGGCCGAGGAGGGGCACTCTTCCTCCTCCTCGGCCACGGGGGGAGGGGCCTCCGACGGGGGCTCGGCCGCTGGGTCCTGAAAGGGACGCCACGCAATTCCTTCGCAACAAGCCCCGGCTCTCGGCGGAACCTCTACCGGCCTCGGTATTGATGTGGTAAAGCAGTTCAGAACCCTACGGAGCTTGAAAGCAAAATTCACAGGGTCTCTTATGTTATCCCTAGGACGACTTGAAGGCGAAAGCCCGAGCGTCGATGTATTAAAGTCAGACATCCCTCTGAATGTGCCGAGTCATCCTTCTCAATGTGCTGAGTCATCATCTTAATTTGCTTAGTCATCCACTTAATCCGCTTAGTCATCCACTTAATTGTCTTTAATTCCTTCCGATTCACTTGAATTCCTCTTAATTAGCTTTGCCGTCCTTCCTTCTTAATTAGCTTTGATTACTCTAACTTCTCTTTAATTCCTCTTAATTCACTTTGATTCATCTCAATTCGCCTAAAAGTCCTCTTTACTTCCCATTGATTCCTCTTACTTCTCTTTAACTACACTTAATTCACTTTGATTGCTCTTAATTTGCTTTGTCATCCTTCTTTATTTCGTTGCCTCCAATTCGCCCGAGTGGTCACGTAAACGTTTTGGTACCTTTTTACCTTTCGTGTCGACGACATGTTTTCGCTTAAGGACTTTGAAGTTTGACTGAACGATTAGACATGCAAAGCTTTCGCCTTAATAGTGCACATACTAGGAAGTGCTTGGCTCATTATCACGCATCGACAGGTGGCTTGGATCCACTGAAATGGTGCTTAAAGGGTCGACAAGCAGCCAGAAAGGAGGAAACTCTCCCTCTGTTCCTTCTTTCCACTCAGACCCCCCCCTTTTTCTGCGAGGAGTAACTCAGAGACCCACTACCGTGGGAAGAGGAAAAAAGAAGAGTGCGAGAGGAAATGGAGAAAAGGAACCGGAAACCGGTTTTCTGCCCAGCAGAAGACGGTTCTGTAGGTCGGCCCATAAACAGGGGAAAAAACTTCACCTAGGGGCCAGGACGGTTAGGGAAACTGGGGAGCCTGGGGATTTTGTAAGGGTAGCCTGGGCAACCCGTGTTCCTAGGGACCCAATTTCAGAAACCGTAATTTAGAAAACGACTTCTCCTTAGGAACGGGAGTTTCCCCAGACTATCCCCGTAGCTTCTCCCCGAGCTCCCGAATACCCTTGAACCGTTCCCTAGGTAAAGCCAGTATGTAAGTGCTGTTCTAGCAGATCTGAGCCACTTGTCGGTACATACCTACAGGGGCAAGACATTTCCTATCATCTATATTCTTGCTTACAATGTCTGTAAGCTTCTACACAAATATGCTGCATCCAATCCAAAAACGGGAAATGTTCCAAGGCTGCCCTTACAGAAAAATGAAGGTTGCTCGGGTTTTCAATTTTTTTATACATCTGACCTGCAGATTATGTAGCCCACTGAAAAGCGTTGTTATTTTTTAATATACATATTCATGCGCAGTTAGTTCTTTGCCGATTATGCGACCCGTCAGAAAGTTTCCCGATTTTGTTTTATTTATTTATTTATTTATTTATTTATTCAAAGTACCTCAAAGGCCTGTCGGCATTACATGAGGGGGGTTATATAATCTGGTTAATACAAAGAAGGAATGGCAGGGAGCACGCCGACTCTATACAAACATCAATACACATCTGCGCGCAACAGAATAAACTAAATATTTGCACAGCTGGGTAACATAAAGCACATAATGAAATAAAAAATAATAATAATACACACATCCGTTAACATCTCGAGTAAAAATATAGATACAGTGACCGGTTTGCAAGAAAATAACATCGTTACACATTTTTAATTGGCTAACATATATGTGGTTAACTCTGAACGAAAAAGTGCTGGGTTGGAAACTGAAACAACGGCCTCGGGAAGATCATTCCAGAGCTTGATGGCACGTGGCAGGGAAGAATTATTGAATGACAATGATGTCCAAAAGATGCGCTTAAAACTCTTAGTGTTAAAATTACGTGATTCCTTGTTGAGGTGTTCCAGATGTAAGAACCAAGTCCCAGCGGGGCTGTGGCATAATCGGTGAATTAAGCATAGGAGAGAAATGTTACGTCGAGTTTCCAGTAGACATATAGGATAATTTTGCTTTATTAGTGACACGCTGTCGAAACGCGAATATGATGAAGAAATGAAGCGGTCTGCACGGTTTTGAATGGATTCGATTTGATTAATAAGGTAGGTTTGGTAAGGGGCCCAGATAGCGGAGGCGTACTCTAATTTTGGGCGAACATAGGTTTCATAGGATAATTTGCGGAGGCGAGAGGGCGCAGATTTAAGATTGCGTTTCAAGTAACCGAGGGTACGGGATGCTTTAGCGGTTATCGTGTAAATGTGAGAAACCCAAGAAAGATTAGAAGTTAGTTCGACACCGAGGTACTGATAAGCGGAAGCAGCGATGATGGGCGAACTGTTGAGTAAATATGTGAAGTCTGAATTTGTGCGTTTACGGGTAAAAGAAACAAGTTTACATTTTGCTGTGTTAAGGGTCATTTGCCATTTGTGGCACCAGGTAACTACCCGATCAATATCAGTTTGGAGATGTAAGTGGTTGTCAGGGTTGTTAATCTTTCTGTACAGTACACAATCGTCGGCAAAAAGACGTACACAGGATGTTAGCGATTGCGGGAGATCATTAATGTATATTAGAAATAGAAGAGGGCCAAGGACAGTACCTTGCGGCACCCCGGAGGTTACATCGGAAAGCTCCGAGTAAAAATCACCTACTGTGGTGAACTGCTGTCTTAAGGAGAGGAAGTTTCGGATCCAGGAAAGAGTTAAGTCGTTAATGCGAAGTGAGGAGAGTTTAGATATTAGACGGCAGTGCGGCACGCGGTCGAACGCTTTAGAGAAGTCTAAGAAAATGGCATCGGTCTGGGTGTTTAGGTCCACGTTACTATGTATGTCGTGAGTGAATTCAAGGAGTTTGTTGTCGCATGAGAAACCCTTACGAAATCCGTGCTGGTGTTTGTAAAAAAAAGTTGTTTTGGTCAAGATGGGACATATCACATTCGAGAAAATAACCTGTTCCAATAGCTTTGAGACAACACTCATTAATGAGATGGGTCGGTAATTATTTGGTGAGTTTTTATTGCCACTTTTAAAAACTGGAACGATCTTCCCGATCTTCCAGTCAGAAGGGATGGATCCGGTAGATAATGATTGTTCAAAAAGTAAGCAAAGTATATTTGATGATACCTCAGCAGTGTTACGTAATATTTTAGAGTTAATCATGTCGGTGCCCGCGGATGTTGAGATTTTAAAGGGACACTGACACCCCCCAAAAATTTTTTTTTATTTTTTGCCAGGCGCTTCATTATGGTGTCGGAGGACTACCCAATTAATATTTTGCAACAGAGTAGCGTATTTCTTTAATAAAGCCAAAAGACGCAACTGCTCGAAACCGAAACCGAAACCCGACGGAGGTCGGAGAAGTGGAGAGAAGAGAGCGACTGGCGGAAGTCACGTGGCTACACCCGACCGTGCGGTTTTTTGGTTTTTTTTTTTTTCTCCTCTCCGGTAGCAGACGACACGACATGCGGCTGCGATGCGGCGTGCGGGACTGCTTGCCGTGCAATTCTTTTGCAGTTATGTTTGTTCCGCTCGTTGTTCTGTACTCCAAGATGAGTTGTTTTGTACATTGAGGAGTTGGAGATGAGTAGTGAGTGCCCGTGGTGAATTTCCATGATCGGCTCCGAAAAGAATACACCCAAAATGTTGCGTGAAGAGCTGGCTCACATGTCTTGCATCCGAAAAAAAGTGGCATTGTGCGACAGAGTTTCCGAAAGATCAACGGTATCGGGACCAATGGCTGGCTGCAATTCCTGTAGAACATTTACGGGCACCTCGGAAAGCGGACGCTACCCGATTTATATGCTCCTTGCATTTTGTGGAAAGTGATTACATTGAGTTTGCAGTTGTCAAAACGGAAATCCCATACCGTTTAATTCAGCGAAGGATCGTCCGCAACATTTGTTTGTTATTTTTTTTGTTCGTTTCTTCAGTGATGATTGTAAAAAAAAGAAAAAGATATGTAAACATCAAAAAATGTTTGGAAAAAAAAAAAAAAAAAATTCACGGGGGATCGAACTTGGCCCTTCTGCGTGTGAAGCGGACGTCTTTCCCACTGAGCTACTGGGGCAACTCGTTCCTAGTGGATCTCTTTCCTTAGTAATAATTCAGCCGGTAAACTGTAAGTTGGAAAGTTTGCTGTCGATTTTTCTCTAGCAAAAGCACTCCCGGGTCGAAGTCGGGAAGCACCACGCTTTGGGGACGTTCGCACCTAGTAAAGAAATCGTACGCGTACATATTCAACTCGAAGTAGACACGTCGTGCTTGACGTTTGCGCGAGCGTTGTTTTTAGCCACGAGAAGGGAGCGACGGCTCGGCGACGTCTTCGTGCAAATCGGCTTGATGGCCGGGCGTGTCGTACGGGATGAATACCAATTCTTTTGATCAGTCCCAAATTTCTCTTTTAACGGTAGACAGAATTCGCCGGTACCGCGAACGACAGTTCTGAAATAGAGGTCCCACGCCCGTCGTCCGCTGCCATCGCCGTCCCCGCGAGTCCCACGATACGCGAAACGACGAACGCACAGAATGCTTCCGGTTGTCTGTGGAACTTTTTTTTTCAATCAACGTATATACAGCTTTTTAGAAGCCACAAAAAATGGGTTTCATATTTTTTAATATTTTTAATATTGAGTGTGTGCCTTCAGTGACCCACGACTTTGATTAAATTTGGTGGTCGCATCGATACCTTAGAAAACGGCCCAGGACCGCGAAAAAGAGAGTGAGCGAGACTCGAACCGGCCAATTCTTGATCGGCGGTTTTCGGGCGGAAAGAAACCGAATTTTGAGCCGCAAATTCTGTTCTGGGTAGTTGAGCTCTCATATGTCACCTACAACTAAAAACCTCGGCGAGCATAAATACCCTGTCAGTGTCCCTTTAAGGTTATTGATGAGTTTTAGAATTCCTGCAGGCGATATTAAAATGGGTTCCATAAAACGGCAGTCTAGCTCTGGTACAAACGGAATATTACTTAGGTCCTCGGTTGTAAAAACAGACGTAAAGAAAGTATTGAGGACTGTTGGGCAGCTCGCGTCGGGTACGAGTTGGCCAGAGCCGCTAATAAGGGATATCTTAACATGAGACTCGGTAGGCGATAAATTTTTCCAGAATTTAGTTGGATTGTTTTTAAGTAGAGCAGGTAAATCGTAATTAAAGTACTTTTTCTTTCAGTTTTCTAGACAGGTAATATAGTCTTTTTCGCAGCTAGAGTACCTCGCCCACAATGCATCAGAATTGGATTGTTTTGCCTTTTGGAATAGTCTTTTCTTTTTATTACGAAGCGTTTTTAGTACTTTATTAAACCAGGGCTGACTGACGTCGGAACGGATTGAAACAAGGGGAATATGAGCATCAATGAGCGCAGATAATTTATTTTTAAACATATTCCAATTATTTTCTACTGTACGAGTGTGAAAGCCGGCAGTGAATGAAGAACAAAAACGCAGGAGGCTTTTATTAATCGAGTCATAGTCAGCCTTGCTGTAATCTCTTATCAGCTTAATAGTATGCAGCTTTTGGGAGATAGATAAGTTTAATTTCAGATCCACAATTTTATGATCACTGAAACCGTCGCAGCAGGTCAAGGAAGTGATTACGTCTGGTGCTGATGCTAGTACTAAGTCGAGAATGTTGTTGCCGCGCGTGCTGGCGGATACGACTTGTACGAGGTTGAAAGTTAGGCATATATCCACAAAATTTGTTTCAGTATTATCTTGGGATGATAGTGTCAACCAGTCGATAGATGGAAAGTTAAAGTCACGAAATACAAATACGTCGGCTTTCGGATAGTCGCAATGAATCAGGTTTAAGTTATCGTGAAACGAATCGCAGAATGATGAGTCACTGTTGGGTGGTCGATAACAGACGCCAATTATGGTTTTCTTGAATGAAGTATGAAGACAGATCCATAGCATCTCGATGTCTTTATCAATTTTTATTATGCACGAGGGAATGTCTTTTTTGACAGCTATCAAGATACCTCCTCCCCTCCTGATACATCTGTCACGGCGATAAATGTTGAAGTCTGCGCAAGTGTCAAATATTTCCTTATCAAGTATACCAGGTTTAAGCCAAGTCTCTGTTAGGATTACGACGTCGGTATCGTTATCGTACAAATATGATGATAGTAAATCATGTTTAGGGATTACACTGCGGATGTTAGTGAACATAAATGAAACATTGCATGTTTTATCCGAGATTCTTGACAAGACCCGATTAGGACAGGAGGGCTTAGATTTTTGTTTCATTCGCTGTTATGCTGTCAGTTGTTCTACACTGTCTGATAGGGGATTGTGTTTGTGTTTACGTGTATGTTTTGTGTTTACGTGTACGTTTACGCTCCTGAAAAAGCCCTAAAAGGGCTAGCGGTATAAATAAATAAAATAATAGCTATCTGAAATGAGCAAAACAAAAATTTGTAAGAGCTTTTATTCTACATAGATTGTCTAGGGCAGGGGTTTCACAAAAACAATGCCTTGCTACATTTAGCGGGATGTGAAATAATGCGAATGTAAAACGCGCAATTTCCTCGCTACATTTAGCGGGAAAATCGGTGTCTAAAAGACCCCCTTTGACGCAAAATAATGTAAGAGATTACGCACCAATTTAGGTTTTGCCACTGCGTTTAGCTGGAAAACGGTTCCTGCCTCATTTTTGGCTTGTGTATAACAAAATAATTAGGGGTGTGCGAATATCAAAATATTTCGAAGCGAATCGAATTGAATAGTAAAGGTTACGAATCAAATCAAATCGAATATTTTCGAATACAAATATTTTTTATTTGATGTGAATCAACCAAGGATACTCTATCAAAAACGAACTGGGAATTCTTTTTCAGCAAACGTAATTATAAAAAGGTTAACTTTATTATGGCAATAAAAAAAATGTCACACATGTGACTGATAAAAAGACAGATAAAGTAATACTAGCAAAAACACGATTCAGAGTATGAAGTTACAGAATGTTGTCATGAAGAAATGTAAGTTGTTCCACGTGTTCTGGGAGCAGTGATGCTCTTTTGCTGGTCACAATTCCCCCAAACACTGAAAACAGGCGCTCGCTAGACACACTTGTGGCTGGTATGGCTAGGTACCTTCTTGCAAGTAGAGCCAACAGGGGGTATCTTGTGGCACCCTTCTCACACCACCACTTGCAAGGATCCTCTTCCCGGGCCAGGACGTCTTCGTGCAGGTAGCCTGCTACCTCTTCTTCAGCTTGTGTCATTGAATGCTGCTTTTGTTTAATGAGGCTGTCCAAGTTTTGCCACAGCGCTGACCTGGACGGAACTTCATGGGCCGCTATCTCTGAGGACACCCCTGCGCTTCTTTGTGTCTCAGGGATTTTTTGCGCTTCCTCAACTCCCAGGTTCTTCAACCAGTTCCCCATCGACCTGTCCTCTTCGTAGACCACTGCCTTGAACCTTGGGTCTAGGAGCATTGCCAAGCTGGCTACTTGGTCAAATTTGAAGTCAGGAAATCTTGTCTTGAGGCACTTGGCCAGGTTAGACGAGAACGAGGAAGTTATGGTCTGCTGGCTGATGGAGCTGTTCAGGCATGCAAGGATGCAATACAAGATGGGTATTTGGGCTGACAAGGTTGGGTAGCTGTCAGCTCCAGCATTGGTCGTTGCTTCTTCTAGTGGCTTCAGAATAGCAACGTAATCACTCATTTCCTTCCATTCTGTTCCGGTAAAGCCTTCAATTGACCCCACTTCAGATGCAAGGTCAACGGTTACTGCTTCTCTTAACTCTAAAAGCCTGTACAGCATTGCACATTCACTATTCCACCTTGTTTCAATGTCCTGAACAACATGCGGGGGGGATCTGCCTATTTTTTTTTGGTAGCAGTTGAGCCTTTCCTGAGCTTTTGGGCTATGTTTATAATGCCCAACAATGCCTCTTGCTTTTTTACAAAGTACAGAAAGTCCTGAAGTCATCTCTTTCGCGTCGCTGATGACTGGTTGTAAGGTATGAGCAAAACAAGTTCTTTCACACCAAGGAAGTGCATGAGTGGCTGCACTGATGTTGCGAGCGTTGTCAGTCACCACGTAAAAAGGGCAAACGTCCTTGGGAATGTCCCAGAATGTGACAAGCTTATCAAGAATTGAGGCAATTCTAGCTGATGTGTGCTTGCCTGGGACGTGACAGGTGCTCAAGTTGTAGCGAGTGAGCTTGAACTGCGAGTCCAGGAAGTGGCAGGTCAGGCTGATGTAGCTTTCGTTCGCTCTGGACGTCCACATGTCAGAGGTGAAGGAGAGAGACTCCATGCCACTCTCGAACGCATTCTGTAGCTTAAGTCGAACCTTCTTTCTAGTGTCGTCGTACAACTTCGGTACTAACGTGCGCAACAGCATTGTTCTCGATGGTGGCAGGTAACCTGGGACTGCCTCCTTCAATAAATCCCGGAATCCCCGGTCTTGCACAATCATGTATGGTTGCAGGTCGAGCGCAACCATCTTGGCAATCTTCAGGTCCGAAGCCTCCCGTTTTGCTTGCGGCAGTGCTGTTTTTCTCAACACATCAGCAATGCTTGGCTGATTAGCAGGCTTGATTTTAGCAGCTGCTTGAAACTCCGCATACTGATTGGCGTGCCGTTTCAAATGGTTCACGAGAGTAGTGATCGTGCCTGATGGGGTTCGCAGTGAGCTTTCGCAAAGGTTGCACACAGCTTCACCCTGGCAAACTTTTCGGAAATGGGTCCATACGAGACTTCTTGTGCTGGCAGGAGGTTGTGTACTCCGCCGTGGTTGTTGAGTCCCTGACGATTCCTGTCGTGGCTCCATCAAGCTCAAGCACCAGCAGACACAGACGAGCGCAACAAGTCAGAAGCGCAACCACGTGAACGTAAAGCATGGCACACGATACGAGGGATGAAAACGTGCGCCTCGCGGCCACCACAGCCTCCTGCAGAACTAACCTTGCGCAATATATTTTCGTGTGCAATAGTTGTGCCGAGAGAGGGCGCCACAAAGAAGCTATAAAGCTAAAGACGCAATACGGCTATTTTTCGGCTGACGGAGCAAGTCTCACTTTGACCGGTGAAAACGGGTAGAAATAAAATGAATACTGGAAAACTGGTTAATCAGAAAATCAAGCGGAAAATAACTCGAGTGGCTTGATCCATCATGGCAACGACGGTAACAACTGTACAAATTATCCCCGAAAGTAAGCCGTAAATCCATATCCAAATTCATAGCACTTTGGCCCCTTGGCCCTTGGCTTCCTTGGCCCTGTAGGCCAGTGGGCCAATCTCTATGGTGCTCTATGGGCTCAGTCATTCAGTTGTGAGTGCACATGAGTGAGTGGCTGTAGTCCGTGGCGTTAGAGCTCACGACGATGTACGTGCCCTTGCAAATCGTAGTCCTTTATCAAATTTATCACAGCGATGGCTCCGTATATGTTTGCGCCACTACCACTGGGCCAACTCCGCAATCCAGACATCGCGGCAAGCGAAGGTCAGATCGCGCTACCGCGTGCATATAATTTCCACTTCCATTGCTTCGTACAAGAAACAAAAACAAAAAAAAGGCACTTAGGTTGGCTTTTGGGGTTTGCCAAGTTCGAAACTATACTGCGCAGCCCAAAAACAAACTGGGAATGTGACTGCGATTTGGGACTTACCGGCGAGTTTAGAGTTATTCATAGTTTTCGAATATTCGAAGAACTCGAATACTTCGAACAGTAAAAGTGCGAAGCGAATCGAATCGAATAGCAGGCACTATTCGTGAAGTATTCGAAGTTTCGAATATTCGCACACCCCTAAAAATAATACAAGGATGCACCAGTCTTGGTTCATTTTGATTCCGTCTCACATTCCATGCACCTCAACTTTTGTTGTAAAGACCGAGCTCCTTCGGATTTTTTTCAGCGAGCTACAAAGAACAAACCAAAAGCATTCCATAATATTGGTACACTCTTTCTTAGAATACTGAGAACAGATGTGGTCTTAACTTGAAAGAGTGTGCACTTATTTTCATAACAGGCCCAAAGGTAAACTTGCGAAAATAACCTGGTGTAGGTGCACTCCAATCTAGTGATTTGAGAGCACGTCCGAGTGCAAATCTAGACTCTGAACAATGGGAATACAGACTAGTCCAGACACCTGCTTTGGCTGTGTAACATCCCACTGCAACACACTGTGTGGACCTCAGTTGCCATGGCAACAGTGGTGTTGCAATTGCAACCAGCAATGGTGCGTCGTCGCGACCGGTTGTGAGCAGTGCAAAAAAAAAACAATCGCATCTCCACGTGGTGAATGATGTTGATTGGGGCGAAGCTCTGGTGGTGCTTGTGTGCGTAGACGGTGAACCGCAGCATGCCGAGCCTTTCGTTCGTTTTCATCCATGTCAGAAAGAGAAAGTGTGGTATGGAACGTGGTTATATACGCATTTGAGCATTTGACCGCAGCGCCCTCTCGTCTATAAACGTTGAGCCAATGCATGCAAAGTTTAACGCGATATTATACGCATTTGACCGCAGCGCCCTCTCCTGTATAGACTTTATGTGGCTACATGCAACGTTTCATCCATGACATCCCCAGCTCTTGAGTTACTACCACATCTCAGAGCCCCCTACTCGTCCCGCAGTCGTGGCCGACTGGTTAAAGGGATACTGAACCGAAATTTCGAACTCACAAAACAAGGCTGCACAGATAGGCGGGACGATGCAAAACCCAAAAACATCACTCATACAGCGATATCTCTAACGGATCGCCATATTTTTAGAAAAGAAGCGCCCGACTGAACCCGGCCGACGAGGCCGACAAGGCAAGGGACGTCACGATTCTTATTCCCCTCCTCCTCACTACGTCCCGTGTCGAGCTGGTGAACCGAAGCGAGGAGGAGAGAAGCGAGGCCGCTCCCCCTCATTCTCAAATTCTCCCGGAGGACAGTGATGTCAGAGGCCTCGCTTGATCGCGCCCTTCTTTTCGAAAAGTGCAGCCACCCGTTTGAGATATCGATGTACGAGCAATGTTTCGGAGTTCGTAGAGTCCCGTTCAACGCTTCTAGAGCCTTATTTTGCGAAATTCAAATTTCGGTTCAGTATCCCTTTAAGGCGATGGACTAGAAATCCATTGGGGTCTCCCCGCACAGGTTCGAATGCAGTCAACTGCGCAAACATTTATTTTTTTCTTCATCATTTTTCTTTTGCCCTACACGAGCACGTGAGCTCACAAGGACGATCACGAGCAGGAGCACCAGCAAGATCGATGTGAGCATGGACGCCGGACAGACAAGGCTAGACCCTAAGGAACTTCGCCCCTAAAATTTGCTTCATCTCTGGCATTACCCAAAGGTGTCATTTAGGACGCTTTGGTGGTGCACAAAGCCTGCGAGCAAGAGCATTCATGATATGTGTAGGCAGCCGCGGTGCCGCCAAACCCAAACGCACAACGAGCAAAGCTCCCGCCCCAAGAGTACTTGCGACTGCGGGAGTGGGCGAGTGCACACTGCGCTGCAAGCTTCACACTCCGTACGGGTTACGTCCGCGAACATGGGAGCGCTACGGCTGGCCCCATAAATGACACGCATTTAAAACCACGAAAACTTGTGCCACAAAAACTTGTGTACTCACAACGATGTCTCACCGTAGTTCCGACGGCCACTGCGTGCAGCCGTAGATCCCCGACCCAAAGCGCGCAAAAGAAAACCATTCTCTCCCTAGCGATTACGCGACAGAATCCCAGCATTTCGGCAGAGGGTGGCACGTTTTCTATTGCTCGTATCGGGATAAATGATGCAAAGAATACGAGCTGCAAATTCTTCTAACATTAAAAGAGCTGTGCAACAATTTCAGGGCTTTGCTTTAATTATTGTGGAAGTTGATGCCTGACACTTCTGAAGTGAACTACAGTAAACAGATTTTGCCTGGATACCCTAGTTTTCTTTTAAAAAAATGAAAAAGATCCAGGTTTTTGCCGCCTCTCAACTTGTATGTCGTCTTCCGGGTCACGTGCGCAGTGACATTGATGGGGTAGACACGGGGTTCCGGAAAAGTTCTCTCTTTAGAGCCATCAGTGAGAAGCGAGAACTCGTCCGCTCGCGACCGCGTGACTACATGCTGGCGGGCGCCGCGCGAACAATATGGTGAAAGGAGGAAACTCAGGAAAGTCATCCGGGTCCGGCCATACCTGTCCGGCCCTGTCCCTCTCCCCCTTTGGCTTCTGGCGGCTGTTCGCGGTAGCAGAGAGAGCTGACAGTTTTGTAGACCTAGGATAGATGGCGCCACTAAAACTCCGCATAATAAAAGTTTTGTCGATGATACCAGGTTTTTGACGCATTTATGTATATGTTGGAATGACAAGATTTGTAGAAAAGTTAACTTTTATTGAGCAGGTATTCGCACAACTTGCTATCTTTCTACAAGGTTCCCCATTGACGTCGCACCGCGTGTTTCTCATGGCCGCCGCTCGCGGCTGCAGGTCGGGGAATATTCTAAGCTTTGCCTCACTATTACGCGGCGAAATCGCAACATTTCGATGAAAGGAGGTGTATTTTCTGTCATTTGTGACAAGGTGAACAATATTAAAAGCAGAAGATGCCAATTCTTTCAACTTTAAAATCGTTGCACAGCTCCTTTAAAATCATGGCACTGCCCCTTTAAAATTCAATATTTTTCTCGTTCATGATGAGAAAATTGCTATGAACGAGCATCGAAAATGAATGTCAAGAACAAGCATCGTGGACAACCGACACGCTGGGAGCGTTACACGACTTCAAGGTTGCATATGAAGCTTACAAAGGCCCTCGTAAAGTCAACTAAGAAAGATGCCCCAGCGAAGCTCCATCTTGGGTCGGTGCAGTGGCAGTCGGATACAACGTCCACTGAGCTGCGAGCAAATTTTTCTTTTATGTACATCTCTATCGTGAGCTGCGAGCACAGCTGCTCTGGAAAGGTAATTTTAATGCGAACGTGCCGGCGAGAGTAGCACTCTTCGAATGAAAAAAATAAAATAACGAAAACACCGTAATGTCCAGAGGAATGCCCCACCCCCGAAAAATAACCAGCACCCTATTTGTGCCACGTTTTGCCATTTTTTTCAAAAACACCAAAAGATGGTGCTAGATTCAGGTTGAAGCATGATCGAGACCGTATTAACTCTTTTTGAGGCATGAGGTGCCCCCTGGCGGCCCCCCCGGCGTACCTGCCCGTCCCCCTGGCGCTTGATGACCTCCACCTCCTTCTCCCGCTCCTCGCAGTTGTGCTTCTCGTGGACCCCGACGAGCAGGTCGGCGGGAGTGGGCAGGGCCGCCGAGGAGGCGTCCTCCTCGCCCTCCGTCAGGTCCTCCTCCCCCAGCGGGGGCTGCACCAGCGCTGGCAGGGGCAGCGGGGCCTCGCCGCTTGACGCGCTGTACCTGCGCGCCAGTCCGCATTGTGTGCGGTTTGTATTGCGTACGGGCTGCCTTACAAACACCGTGTACTGGTTGCATTACGTATCAGATGGGTATTGCCCTTATATGGTTTGGGTCATCTGTGGCAATGTTAGAACCAGAAAACGTTTCGGGTCCTTCGTCGGTTACGCTAAAAACCCCAGTTTTTACTGAGGTTTTTGGCTGGACTGGGTCGCCACAGAAGACCCGAACCACCTAAGGGCAATACTGTCTTAATATTAACACTTCTAAACGCTCGTTTTTCTTCCCGGGCCAGTTTGTTGCAGGTTAAGTTACACACAGCTCGCATAAGGCCTGTGTTGCACACAGTATGTGTTGGATATGCTTATGTTGAGTTGTATAGTTTGCATTGCATACAGTTTGTGTTGCATACAAGTTGCACTGTATACAGCTTCTGCTTTTGCACTGCAAGTAACCTGACACGCCCTTTGCGAAATTCACTCTGGCCACTTTGATCACTATCATCATCCAAGCGCACACCATCTGTGCCATGCTCATTAATCTACCGACTCCTGTTCCCCGAACCATTTATTTGCCCTTCCTTTTATCATTTCCATTCCTTTTTAACAATTTGTTTTTCCTGTATTATTGGCAGCAAACATTCTCACTGTATTCACATCTTTCTTGCCTCACTGCTGATAGATGGTAGTGTACCGACCCGCTATACCTGACCCAAATCCGCACGACGCCACGCCATTGGCTGCGCACACTGCGACGCCATACCAATAGTTACGCTCCATTGCTGACACTCTCTTCCATGGGCTCACTCGATACAGTGCTATCGATGCGAGCAAGCAAGCTGCGTGGAGAAATCCCACATGAGGCTGTCGCTCCAAAATCGGACACGGTTTCAAATGCTCTCCACCGTACAGTGTCTGGGGGAAGTTCCACGTCCGAAGTGGTCTCATAACGATAGGCAAAGCAAACTCAAGTAGCGCCGTAATTTAAGCCAAAATATGCTTTTAGAGCGCAGCTCTTAGGCGCCCGTTTCCGGCTTGAGCGGCGTCGCCGTCGGCGTAACCGCGCGGTGCATTATGGGTAAATTTTTCCGAAGGGACCCGAGGACTCCCGAAGGAACCCGAGGTCCTTCGGGAGGACCTCGGGTCCCTTCGGGAGGACCTCGGGTTCCTTCGGGAGTCCTCAAGTCCCTTCGGGAGTTGCATGCAACAGGCTGCATGCAACCTGTTGCATGCAACTGGCATACAACGATTTGTATGCAACCTGTTGCATGCAATCCAGGTTGCATGCAACCTGATGTGACCCCTGAGGTCACATGACCTCTTAAGGTCACGTGACCCCACTGAGGTCACGTGACCCCTGGAGTCACGTGACCCCCTGAGGTCACGTGGCCGCCTGAGGTCACGTGATTCTCCTGAGGTCACGTGACCCTCTGAGGTCACGCGACCCCCTTGACGTCACCCGACCTCCCATGAGGTCACGTGACCTCAAGGAGTCACCTATCCCTCAGTACGCTTCCATCCTCCTCCTCAAGAGCTGCGCTCCAACCGGCGTTACAGGGAATTGTAAACGGCTTTCATTTTTGTCTCGCAATTAGGGCCCCCTGAAAGCCCAAGGAAGTCGAGGCATAAGCAAGCCTGATATTCCTTGGCCGGAGTCTGGGTATTTGAATTGCTAAACAAGTGCCAGAGTTAGGCCTCACTGCCCGGTAGTTCAGTCGCCACCTGGCCCTTTTACTGCCTCGGTTCACGAGCAAAATGCCAGGATCAGGCTTTGCTTCTGGTGGTTAGCGGTTTTCACCGGGCAACTCTGGACCTAAACTGCCAAACGAGTGCCAGAATTAGGCTTTGCCGCTGGGGCCCTAGACTCAACCAAACAAAAAGTTGTTAGCGAAAGCTCACAAAGTGCACCGACTGGACTTCGGTGAAAAAAGTGTGTCGTCGTTGTTGCGAAAATCCAATCGGGGCGCTCCGTAAACTTTGTCCCCAACCTTGTGTACGACGAGACTGGAGCCCCCGGTTCTTCGGCTAATCCGTGGCACCCCTGGCTCGTGTCTGGCGCTTTGGCAATCATGCGGCGAACCGGAGCAAACCCATCAGCCAAAAAGTACTCGGCACTATCTAAGGCCACGGAGCAAAGTCCTGGGATCATCAAACTCGAGCCGTGCCGGTCGTTTCTCCGGCGAGCTGCCCGGGGAACGCGGGAGGGATCGCCCCACCTGTTGGCCATGGATTTGAGGCAGTGGAGCAGCCAGGCCTTGTGGTTGAGCGACAGGTTCCCGCCCAGCTCCCTGGGCAGGGCGTTGTACGGCACGTGCAGGCTCAGCTGGTCCAGGCTCACCGTCGTCACCTGCGGGGCCCCAAAACCGCCGCCGTTACCACGGATTCTGTCAACGACCTGCCTGATTTTGTCAACGACAGATTATGTTGATAATGATTTCTATATGATACAAGTTGTGCTGTGTAGGAGAAATTTCGCTCGTGGATTATGTATCAGGTGCAGAGTGTTCATGGTATGCGGACCTACCTAAGGAAATACTTTTCTTTCTATCAGCCACCGATTGCCCCTGCAGACTGTAATCAGGTGCAGACGGAAAATATGTTAGCAATTTACGCGACGCTGCATTCTAAGATTTATAAAGATGGATGATATTGGATGTGTGCTCTTGTATTCCCGATTTACCTTCACCCTACAGAAAGAGTCAGTGTGTACAGAATGAGTTGGTTTCACTAGCTTCCCCACTTTCCCAAGGCTCTTTCAAGTCTTTTCTGCAATGCCAAATCGTGCGACATGGTCGTACAATGAAGTTCCACTTGAATAAACTTCAGTTGAACAGACCACATATTAAGACGAAGCAGCTTTCGTAAAATCCCCCAGCAAAACCCTACTTGGCTCGTTCAATTTGCCTGCGCCAGTGTGGAAAAGTGTAGCGTGGTGCCCAAGAGTTCAAGGCAATGAACTTGTGGATGTAATGCTGCACGTGCAGGTAAATTGAATGCATCAACTGTGTCCAATGCATTCCCTCCATTGAAACTTCACTTTTCTTGAGGTCCCTCAGAACTTGTTCAGATGGTATTTCCCTGTATACATGCAGTGGATACGTTACGTTACCGTTGGCATAACATTGTAACTATTGCTTTACAAGTCTTTCCCTTGAACAGAGGTAAAGCATCTCGGGGTGGCGGAATCAATTCTCATCGGGGTATGTTCATAGTTTTATTCTTCCTTTTCTATTGCAATTTCTTCTCCATTGTGCGCTCTCGTCAATAGATTTTCTCCCCAAACTTGCGTCACGCATTTCATCACAATATTTTTCGCGGCCTTCGTACACATTTTTCCCGTTGATCCCAGCCACAAACCTTTTCTGCAATAAAATATTTCAACGCAGAATGCATTTAAGGATCCGCCATCCAAGTCTAAAGTGTCGCGAGAAGATGTCAGGAAAACATAATGATGTGGCCTTGTCTCCTTCGGCATCATAGAACACACATTGTCTGTCCCTAAGCAGGAATCGGACACCGGATTTCCCGCTCTATGATCCGACACTTTGCACCAGCAGAGTATAGCTTGCTTGAGCACCTTTACAGCTCCTGTGTATGCTCGTGCTGCCGCAAAAATCTGAACTCGCCTCATTGTATTTACGAAGAACCCCAGGACAAGGAAGGGACAATACAAAGTATCAACACTTTTTTTAAACGTTGCGTTGTCCTTTCCTTTCTTTCCCCTGTCTCGGGGTTTTTCCTAATTATCCTCAATTTGCACCAGCTCATTTGCAAACCTACTTTTTGTTCATTTCAATACTTGGCACAAAGCCAACCAACACATGTGTTTGTAACGGCCTCCCCGACAGATCGCCCCAAAAGCGAAACGGGTGGCCACAAACTTAAGACGCATTCTAAGTCATTAGGCTTTAGGTATAGTACTAAGGTATTCTTTTACAACTTCCCAGATGGACCACATGACACCTCGAGCACTGCCTATGCAAGTGTGGCAGGCAAACTCTCCGACCTTGAAGGGAAGAGTGCAGCGACGCAGCTATTTGCAGGGCGCCTGCATAAACGCTTCGCTTCACGGAAGCCTGGTTCCCCGTGCACGTGCGGTGCCCACAGCTCGTGAGGGAACTGCACATTTGTCCACACCTCGCGTGGATCTGTTTGTAAGTTGGTCTATACCCAGTGATGCGATTGGCCTAAGCCATTTTGGAGCACCTTTCGGAGCAGCCAAAACAGTGTTTTGGAGCAGCAAAAGTGGCCTTTGGAGCAGCCAAACAGTGTTTTGGAGCAGTAAACGTGACTTTTGGAGCAGTCAAAACAGTGTTTTGGAGCAGCAAAAAGTGTTTCTTGGAGCAGATATTCTTAGAAAAATTAAAATATTTGTTTTAAGTGCTGGACAAACGAAGAATGCTTTGTTCGCTACAATAAACAAATCATGGCCAAGTTAGACCACCGAGTGCTTCAACAAGTAACTGACACGCCAATGACATAACAGATTTTGCAATGCTTCAGTTAAATGATACATATATATGTACCCATCATAAATAAATATGAACCAAACTGCAGATGTTAAACCTTATTTGAAAATAACCAGCTTAGTAGTAAATATCACAGCATTAGTTTGACCAGTTATATAATATATGGAAGCAGTCTCCTGCTGATGAAACATGTAACTACTGCAATGCAATGCGAAATTGTACACAAGACAAAGGTGCATTACGATTAGCGGGTGATTTTCTTTTTGCTTTTCAAAACTTTCTGCAAGGCTGCTGCAAGCCTTGCTTTGCTTTCGGCTAGTAATGAATGTCCACTTGCAATGCCTCCAAAGAGACATTGAGACATCCCACAAGTGTATACATACATTGCTGAAGCCATTGTAAAACAATTCCGAAAAACCGCTCGCCACCGTTTTACTGGATCCCGACGTGCCAGATTTTCGTCAAAACTAAGCAAACGTAAAACAATGGACTGCAAGAGTCCCAGCTGGTGCCTCTGTCGTGCATTCATGTTCGCATGCACATGAGGGCAACTTCCGCAGGCTTGCAGCTGCACGTGCTTCGTCGCACGAGCGGAGATATTTATTCGATCGAAACGGAAACCATGCCTCTTTGCTCAGTCACCAACTGGTTCTCAAAATTGTATGCAAAATGTAACTGTCCACCATACGACAAAGAACAGTCCAGCAGCACATGCTTTCGAGGCTGGCTAAACACACAGAAGCTAGACAAGCTAAACACAGAAAAAAAAAAAAAGAACCGTAGCGCGTCGATGCAAGACATTGTAAGCCAGGGTCAAAAAGTCCTTGAACCGCTTTGTAACTCGAGACAAACAAGCGCGCTGTGCGGGTTCAACGTGCAGACATTGCATTCTTTGCTTTAGTTCACTTCTCTTCATCAACTTCCTTTCGCGGCAGATTTTTCAAGTACCGGGGTCCCTCTTGAAAGAAAGCCCACCGAGAGAAACTATAGGCAATCAATACTTGGACACAGCAGTCCTTGAGTTAAAGAAAGATTTTTGTAGTAGAGTATGATTTGAACTAGAACAGGAATGTTGATGAACATGCGGCAGTCCTTATGTTACAGTTTAGAAAGCGCCATATCTGCAGCGACGAGGGGACGGCTGCTGGCAACACTTGAGTTCGCGCGACCACGGTGACTGGCAGACAGGGACCGAATATAGTTTTCCCACGGCCTTTGCTTTCAGGAGCGAGTGCTTCAGCTCATAAAGTGTCTCGCGCCGGGCAAAAAAGTGGTTTCGTTTCACAGCATAATGGTAAGGCTGGTACCCAGCACGCTTGCGTCGGAGTGTACGCACAAGCCCGCGTCTACAGCTGAAAAAATTTTAAAGAGCCGCGAGACGAGACCCCTTAGACGACGACAGCGTGAAACGAGAGAGGACGGGAAAAACATAGTTATTGGAAAAACCAAGTAAGACCAGATGGACGATTGATGCAGAGTACTTTCTGTCAAGCGGCCGCTTGCGCCACCTAGCTCACGCATGCTCAATTACGGCACTCAGTTTAGTTTCGGCTTTGAAAGGCGACCGAAATTGGTCCTTTGGCGCAGGCTTGGCACAGATTACCCATATTCTGGCAAAATGTAGCAGGATGTAGCAGGGTTAGGCCCTTGGCGCAGTTTGGCGCAATTGGAGCAGCAATCACATCACTGCCTATACCTAAACAGGACCCCTGAAAGCAGCCGCTGCGCTCTTCTCTCGTACTACAGGGCAAAGCACAGGTTGGACATTTGGATCCAGTGCAATCAAACTTTTCACAAAGGTGTCTATAGGTTAACCATATATCATAGCCAAATTGCTTAAGGGTAGGTTCTAGAAAAACATGTATTAGCCTAAAAAATACAGCTTTTTTATACGGGGAGAGGAAAATGATAGAAACCGTCTGGCTGACCCCGCTACTTGCAGACAACGCAAAAAAAATAAAAAACGCGAAAGCTTTCTTTGATTCATCTGCGAGTAGCAGCGTTGGCCAGACGGTTTTAACTGCGTGCCAAACTGTACATAGGAAAAAAAAAAGGGATTTTTGGGGGGTTTAAATTTTTTCTTTCCTTAACCCACACTCGCGTAATTTAAGAATGACAAAAAGCGTCACGTAAAGGCACATTTATGAATAGTTTTGATGCACTCGGTTCCTCGATTTATTCACGCAAATTATTTCGTGCCCGAATAGCGCCAGAAGCACCTCATTGCTCGAGGATTGCCCGAGCGACGAGAGTGGCTCGAGGGAAAAGCGACTCACCCGGTCCCGTAGCTTCTCCCTGACGAAGAGACGCAGGATGCGGAAGGGAGCCTTGAACCACAGGGGAGCGCTGACAATCAGCACCTTCTTCAGCCTGGCGGGGTAGGCTCCCTGCGGGGGCAGACGCTGGGTCTCAGGCTCGGACAATGCCGCCGTTGCACTGCTGACACGCCGCACAAAAGACTGCGTACGGACGTTGTCCCAGATGTTTCTTACTCATACGACGGCCCCGCCGCGCCGATCATACAAACGCTGCTTAAGTGCATTGCGAGAGCGTTCAAAAGAAATGTGCGATATGCCGTATAACGCGCAATTGTCTTAGAGCACTTAGAGGAGGGCTGCAGTTGCTGGCAAGATCAGAGTTCCGTGTTAACGCAAAGGGTATGCGGCAGGGGTCGAAGCACTGCCACCAAATAATATGCGATACTGAGACGCAGTACAAACACATCCGATACAATGTGCTCCATTGTCGAGGCTACTTTCTTTTTTGATGTGAAACGTCCTTTGGCTACAAGTTCGTCATTTCGTGAAGCCCAAAAGTGAAGCCTGGATAAAAGCGTGGCCGCAAGGCTCAACACTGATTGGTTGACGGGTGGGAGAGGGAGAGCAAGGTAGGCGAGGAGGAGCTCCACCTCCTGTGCGGCCTGAGGGAGAAGAGCTTGTGAGTATGAAAGGTTCCCGAAGATTGCCAAGTTTATCAGCCCGGTTAGCGTTAGTATCACTTCATTCTAGGAACAACTACCGAGTGAGACTATCTGATGAAAAGCGCCGTGAACGAAGGCATCTAGCAACTCAGTGTCGCTAAACATTTGCAATGCTTGAACGTTTCACGTATGCAACACAATTGCCTGGCAACTTTTTATTTGTTACTTTGCACGCAGCCTTTGACTACACCTACAAATATCGGTGAGAAAGTGAAGAAACATGCAGACGCTCGCATGGTGTGAACCGATTTACAATTGTAGAACTGAATCCTAATCCTTTCGGGAAGTTTCACTGGATTAGCTTCTGAATTTGTATTCGTTTCCGGTGCACGGTGTAGGGTCAGCCAACTTTTGCCCTCGTGCGAAAGGAACTCGGCGTGTGTAAACAAGACCAGTACGCCTGTGAGGGCGAAGCAAAAAGAGGGTACAGCTTTGACCTTCTCCACTCCCAAATATAATTCAAGATGTAACAACGAGAGCAGAAAACACCAAAGTCCTTCATCTAACAACCCATATGGAGATGTAAAAAAATTACACGGGACATCCAAAAAAACAAAAAATCGCAATGCATACCAACATTTCCTACATTTGAGTGGGTGTCAGCCAACCGGGTTTTGTAAACGACACCTTTAAAACTGAGCACGAGTGTTTTTTTTTATCAAATATTGTCGATTTAGAACCAACAAACTATAAACAGCACAAAGACAGACAAAGAATGAGAAAAAGTATAGAAACAGCGCTTTGTCTCATCCTTTCTCAGTCTTTGTACTGTTTTTAATCCATAATACCTAATTTACTCGCGCAATGAACGCGCCCCCGCCATTGGCCATCAATATTTTTACTTTTTTTTTCTTGCGTAATGAACATAGTTTTAATTTTCGTTTTCGCAAGTCTTGAATTGCGTCCAACTTAGCTAGCCCGCTAGCCACCAAGCCCGCCAATTTTCTTTTGCTGGCAAGCGGCCAGGCTAAGCCAGGCCAAGCCGCTCTCGTTAATGGTTGCAATTTCATGGTTGTGGAAATGAGGAACCGTGAAACTGAGCAGCGCACATGCCTAGCGAGGCTGGGGTTCAGTAATTGCCAGCCCGAAACGTGCTTCAACCTTTGGATGCATCGAAGTCAACAAACACGCCGCCGCCTGTGATCCACTTTCGAACAGCGATATTGTGAGAGTGGTTAGGCCGAAGAACGGTCGTGTCGCTCTCCATGCTGAGTGAGATTCACAGGGCACGTTTTCTCCGGCAAAATGCACGCCGAAAGCACCCTAAAAAAGATTCGCAATTTATTGAGCATGATTACTGTAGCATGCCCACAAGCAATGGGCGCGCCTCCGTCAGTCGAGACGTGGTGCAGTGCCCTGCCACGTCATATTGGCACCTAAGATGACATTTGCACAAAGTGTGTAAATGCAAAAATTTTACCCCACGTTATGAACGCACCCCCCAAATATGTGTCAATTTTTCGGCAAAAAAGTGTGTTCATTATGCGAGTAAATACGGTAACTCACTGGCCCCGAGTTTGGGGTTTAGGATGTGGGAAGGCAGAACGGCACATTCGTTGTGCATGATTGGCTCAATCAGTGATAGCAGATGAACAAATGCGACGAGCACCGTAATGATGCAATTTCGGCACTGCCCGATCGACCGGCTCCATTGAGTCGTAGCGTCGGACGCGATCAGACCCGAAATGAGACAGAGTTGGAGAGGATCGTCCGCCTCTCCAAGACGGGACTCCGCCGACAAGCGGCTCCCTTACCTTGAGAAGATTGAGGATCTTCTGGCTGAGTTCGTAGTCGAAATTCTGGTACCTCGATCCCGTCATGTTGTAGATGAAGACAATCCCACACCTTTGACTTTCAAGACTGCAACAACAGAACACAGCCACGACGTTACACACATTTAGCGCACAAAAATCAAGACTGTGCGGGCCACGAGGGTCCCTCGCTACGGGTAAAAAGCCAACGACACCGAATTTCTGCAGCATGGTGCCCTAGAACGCGTCTCCGACCGATGCGCTTGACGCGTCCATAGAAAAGTGAATTCGTGGACGTCGTTCGTTGCCACTTCGGGACCGGATTTGACGCGTGGGCGGGACTGGACGCTAAAAGCGCCAGTCAAAGACGCGGTCTGTGCGCCGAAATGCTGCGGAGAGTGAGGCAGCTGAGCATCGGGGGGGATGACTCACGAATCAAGTTTGGTACACACAAGATGCGTTTCCACGGCATTCTTCAAAATTTATATCAAACGCTGCAGTTTGTTTTTTTTTGTTTTCTTTTTTTTTCTTCAGTTTCGACGCGTTATTTTATTCCAAACTTTCCATCTTCGTGGGATGGTGGGTACGTCTTAGATTTCTCCTGTGTTCTTGTACGAGCAGAAACCGAGGGAGAGGAAAAGACGAGAACGCACAGGGATGTCGGAGCGCCGAAGTCCGGTATTCGCGTTCAGAGTTAGCAGACGAGAGCAGCGAGCTTGCGTCTACGCACAGATCATTGCAGTCGGAGCTCGGCGTACCCCCGTCTGCTCTCGTCTCCTCCCTTGGCTCAGCTTCTGTCCATACTGATTGCAGTCCCTCCCTCCAGATGCCTAAAATAGGCAATCGGGTAAAACCCAGAACACACAGAAAAGGACTGGACAAACACATCGCTGATTAACAACTTTTACTTTGTCCTCTTCCCAGCCTAGGCAAATTCTTCTCCCTCCTATGGCACATGAAACTCGATTAAAAAAAACTTGTGGCCCACCACTGAACGGGGTGTGGCAAACCGCAAATATTGTCGTTCTTTTCGTGAACCGTAATCGACGAGGTGCTCACGCAGCAGTATGTATCAACTAAAACCCGTGACTAAAAAAGTTTACGCAAGTTACAATGTACCCGCTTTCGGCGTTGATCAGTTTTCATCACTTCGCGCCGTCGCGTCGACGCCCGCGACGCTAGCCTCCGAAGAAGAGGTCGAGTAGGGCTCGAAACGTCGGATTTCCGACTAGGGCTTGGCTGGAAGTTTTTCCTTTATCAAAGAATGTGCTTTACGAGTTGTTTTCAACGAGAAAATTGCCCTGAACGAGCGTCATAATGAGTGTCACGAAGGAGTGACGTCCTGGGTATTTGAATGTAAACTTGCCGGCAAGGGCGGCAGGTTTTGGATGGAAATAAAATATACAAATGACGATCGACGAGGCAACGAACGACTGAGGGAAACTAAGCGTTTAATGAGGCAAACTTGCGCCCAGAACGAAATAGGAGAAGGCTAGCGTCGCGGGCGTCGACGGCGGCCCTATGGCAGGATCGAGCGCCGGGGCGAGACTGACCCCGGCTCGCCAGGCGGGGTCCCTTAGGTACCTTTGTAAGTTTCTGGAACACTCGGCGTAGAACGTTCGGTGCGTAAAACGTTTGTAACTCGATGGGGCGACAGGGTTCTCGAACTTACGAAAAACAATAAATTGAAAGAATAAATGAAAAAAACTTCCTCGACGACGCGAGCGGCAATATTAAGTCAAATAAAAATAAAATAGAATTATAATAAAAATAAAATAAAGGCAAACAAAAAGTATGAAAAAAAAATTAAAAATAAATATATAAAAATTAAATGATCAAAATATTGTAACGAACTTAATTTTTGCAAGGACCCAATCTTCGTGAATTTCGCAAATCGCGTATGATTAGCAAAAAAAGAGATCTTGCGAATAAGTTTCCTTACGGTAGCGAATGCATAACATACCACCCCAATTCGCGAAAATTCGAGCTCGCGAAGATTCAGTCGTTTACAAATGAAACTAAAATAAATAAAAAATAAATATATAAAAAAAAAATTAGAAATCTAGCACAAACCACGGAGCGCGGTTTGTACGGGACACATTTCCCTGGTCTTTGTCATCACAATCGAGCCTGTGCAATCTTTTTTTTTTTAACAAGGGGGAACCCACAGACGCTGCTCACGGAAACGGTAGAACGCTGCTTACCAGAAGTGAAAAAGTGTTTTGCGTAACTGCGCTTGTACAATGCCATGCCACGCACAACAGTATTCCAGGTTAAAGGGAGACACTACCCAGAAAAGTCAACTTCTGTACCGCTTGCTTGATTTCAATGTAATTTGCAATGGAAGTTTATTTGAGTGGCAAGCCCATCCCTGCCAAATTTTATTGTCCTGTGCCAATTCTGAAACTTGTTACGAATGATACAATATGGAAGTCAATGTGTTCGCTTAGGAAAATTTAAAAAAAAAATAAAACTTTGTGGTTTTTATGTGTAATATAGTCATAGGAATGCCCAGAGCACATACCCAGCTAGTTATTTTGCTATAGTGCATTGTTTTTCATAAGTATAACTCCATAAGAAGATTACAATTTTTTTTCATGTCTGCACTTTTTTATGTAGTTTTTCTAACACAAAAGAATGTTAAAGTAGAAGAACAAACCAGCCAGGGCATGTTCCTCACAATATTCTATCCCAGAAAACCACCTAAGAATAATTTTTTTGTTGTATAATAGGAAAACTATAGTTTTCCTAAAGTGAAATTTATGCCGAAAAGTTGAATGGAGAAAAATGTATTCAAAGTGCTCCAACCTCTACCTTTTCTATAGCATCGGTGGACCGAAAATAATTTATAAAGAATTAACTATACAGTGTAAACTAATGATACTTTCTGCCAGTACTCTCTAGAAGTTGGTGGATGTAAATATGGCATTTTTTCAATTCAACTTTTATTGCAGAAATCGTTTTTCTGTGTAGTGTCCCCCCTTAAGGAGGGGTTTGACTTGACAGGTTGGAGTTTGCCGGTAAGGAGACGGAAAGTGAGGAGAAGAAGGGGCCGGACACTTCACCTTTCCAGGGCGACGTCCAGCTGGTACACGACCCCTTGAAGAGTGACGCGGTGCGAGCTCTCCAGAGGCCAGTGCTTGCTCGCCGTGAACATGGTGATGGCCGCTCCCGAACTGTCTCGCGTCGGCTGCGCACCCAAGACGGCGCCCAAAACGGCAGGGCACACTTCGTTAGGGAACCTTGGTCAGCTTCACCGACAGCTAAAGCCATTTCAGAGATTGTCCATATATGGTCATATATATGCCAACTAAAGCCATTTCAGAGATTGTCCATATATGGTCATAACCCAATCTAAGGGCGCTAAGCATTCTAAAAATCTCAAGATTAGATCGGTATGCAGCCAATTTCTCTATTAAAAGTTACATGCACGATCATTTGACTAAATGCAATGAAATGCGGTAGCTTCATGGGAACATTGTTAGTAAAAACAATTAGGGAAGGAAATGGTACGCAGATGAAATTGGTTGTAATATGCTGTTCACACATCGAGGACGACGAGGAAAGCGTCTACGACGTCAAGGATGGCATCGAGAACGACCCTGAGGACGACCTCAAGGACGACAGGTCACGTCAGCTTCAGCTAACGGAGCTTACGCGACCGGCGCTTACGTGACCTTGATCACGCGACTTCACACTTCAGCCACGGGCGCCACGGGCCCTTAAAGAGAAGGTGAACCGAACATTTCAGTGTTTATAATAAGTGGCGCACTATCTTTTCATGAGACAGCAGCCCCTGGTGTGCACGAGCACACGCAACGAAATTGACGTCATCATATTCACGCTAAATAAGCTCGAATGGAGATATGATGATGCGCGCACACCGGCGGCTGATGACTCATAGAAAGATAGTGCACCGCTTATTATACATGTTCGGTTTACCATCCCTTTAAGGACATGACCTTGAGCGTGGTTGGGCCTATAAAGCTAGCACTTTGAAATGCGATCCAAGGTCGTGACACATTCTTTCTGCTTTTCGGCGCAGACACCAGAGGGCGTCACCAGGCCCGAGCGAACGCTTCCCGCGCGCGATTCGCAAATATTTAGAAATAAGCGATAGCTCGAGATTCGCAGTCGCACCTTCTACGGCAGCTTCTGGCGTCTGCACTGCGGTCGAAGTCTACACCTCCACAATAGGACTCACCTTATCTCCCTCCAAAACTCAACTACTGGTCACATCCTCCAAGAGAGGACCCGACCCTGACCGAAAACTTATCACAATCAAGCTACAGGACAAGGAAATTCAACAAGTTGATCAAATCAAAATTTTAGGAGTAGTATTCCAATTCAACGGTAAACAGGAAGGATCACTCCACCGCCTTCACACCCAAATCAACCAGATCGCACACCTGATACAGCGGACCACAAATCACAGAACCGGACTCAAAGAACATAATCTACTCCATATCATCGACGCCTTCGTCATATCTCGTCTCCTATACACACTACCCTACCTCACGACAACATGTACCCAAATCAAAAAGCTCGAAGCCAGTCTCCGTAAACTGTACCGACTCGCCTTGGGAGTGCCGCGCCACGCGTCCAGCGAACGCCTTCTCAACACGGGAACTTTCAACACCATTACAGAACGCATACAAATGCATAAGGACGGGCAAATATTACGACTTTCTACCTCAAACCAAGGGCGAACAATTTTACAGACATTAGATATCAACACAGACTCACTTCCCCCAATCCCCATACCTCACCCTCCATGGAAAAGCGCCAACCCAAATGTTACAGTGGAACCACTACCGAAAAACATGAAACCCGACAACAACCCCGAGAGACGAAAACTCCGCGCCAAAGCCCACGAAAAGCGAATACGCTACCTACATGAGACGGAGCATGATACGTATTTTGCTGATGCCAGTCACCAGGTCACGCATGGCAAAATAGCTTTCGTCAACACACGCACTAAAACATATTACTTCGAAACCTTCACAGAACCCCCAACGATCGACGATTTGGAAGAATACGCCATCGCCAAAGCCATGGAACACGCAGCCCAACAACCTAACACTAATCCCACGCTAATCTTCACGGACTCACAGCGCGCCCTACGAAACTACACCGATAACACATTACACTTTATGACAGATAACCTAGTCCGTGAAATACATGCCTGCTACCCGGACAAAAATTCCGCCTCGTATGGACGCCTGGCCACCAAGGCGTGGAGGGAAATGAGACAGCCCATCGTCTCACCCGCGAAAACTCCCCGGGTCCCGTCACGTCATGGCCGGCTATCTACTCGGTAGGCACAACAAGGAACGCTCACCGAGCCCTGCGGAAGTCGAGATTAAAAGAGCAACGTGAAGAGCGGACCATTTACCCTCACCCACCAAAGACCATGTCTAGGCAACAATCCTCCCTCGTCAGGCAAGCCCAGACCAACTCTTTCCATCGCACCACATCTTCCACCACATCTACAAACGACCCGGCTCCCCCACCTGCCCAAAATGCGGAGAATACCCTTCCATCCCTCACACCTACTGGTCTTGTAACCCACCCACACTTCCCCCAACCCTCTCACATATCAATTCTTGGGAGGAATGGCTGGCTCCACCCACGGGCACCGAAATATCCACCGTACTAGAAGTACTAACTAATCACTCCGGTCCCCTTGCGGAATCCATCCGCGAGACGTGGGCCGGACGTAGGCCTTTACAGAAAATAAAGTTTTGCTTGCTTGCTTGCTTGCACTGAAGCGCAGAAAAAGAGGTGTGTCAAGATCTTTGATTCTGTTACTTGGGAAAATTGTCCGCGAATTTAGGTATTTTAGAATACTCAGATCCCGTAGATTGAGATATGACCATAAAATAGACAATCTAAAAAAACACTAAATTACCCCTTTAGAACATAAGGGCTACATTAGTGTTCTGGATTTTGGTAATTTTTTTATTATTTTATTTTTCGTTGTATAGCTAGCTGTGAGGCCAAAGCAGGTTAGTAGGCATTTCAAAAGTACCAGTCCACTTAAGTATTAAAAATGTTATCAGAAAGACCACACACATGTCTAGGCTCGTTACAACGGATCTGGTTACAACAGACTTTCGGACATAACATACCGATTTGTGAAGTTCGGTAGGTTTTCCTATCTGTCCCCATTGATTCATCTTCGTTAATTGCAGATTCATTTAAGCTGCATTCTGCAGCTCCAATGACGCCGAAGCGGAAGCGAATCTCTCTGAAGGAGAAGCTTGAGATTATCCAGGCAGTTGACCAGAGGAAAAAACAATCGGCCGTTGCAGACACCTACTGTAGATACGATCATGAAGAACAAAGAGGCCGTCCTCGAAAAACAGGTACCGGGTGACCCGCAACCAAAGAAGTTCCGACTCCGTGAGGCTACTTTTCCAGAAGTCGAGGATGCCTTACCGATATGGCTCCAAGACGCTCGTTCACGAGACGTCCCTGTGAATGGCTTGCTTTTGCGGAAGCGTGCGGAGCAATTGGCAGCCAATTTGGGCCACAATGAGTTCTTGCGCAGCGATAGTTGGCTAAGCCCCTTTAAATTGAGTTACGGGGCAACTTTCCAGTGCATTTACAGAGAGTCGGACGGCGTTAGATGATGGAGTTGTGGCAAACTGGCAAAAACCAGTCTCTTTTGGGTCTGCTTGTGGGCTACGAACCGCGTAGCATTTTCAACGCTGACGAAAACGAACTCTACTACAAAATGAGGCCAGGAAAGACCTACAGTCTCTCTGGGAAACCGTGCCATGGAGGGAAGGATCTAAGGAGTGCGTGAGAGTTCTCTTCTGCTGCAGCATGGACGGAACCAAAGAGACAAACCTGGTATTAATTTGTAAGGCCCATGTGCCTGCGCAAGGTGCACGTTCCGATAGACTGGGCATCCAACAAAAGCGCGTGGATGACGCGGGACGTTTTTAATAAGTGGTTGCTGGCTTTCGATGGCAAGATGAAGAAAGAGAAGAGGAAGGTGCTAACAGGGAACCCTGGTTATAACCAAATGTCTGCTGTCACTAGATCTGTTGTAACGGGGTCAGACTGTATCCACGAGTTTTTGTTATGTATTCATCCGAAACACAGCCCAGCCCAACAATAGTGTCAGCAAGGTTGCATATTCCTTCGGAAACCACGAGCCTCATTTACTTCCCTTGTCTTCCTGATAGCGGGACAGGTTTTCTGAGTATTTGGGTGACTCCCATGCTCTCCGGAAGTTGAAGGATCCAATGCCCGTGCCACATTTCATTCAACATTTTTGCCGCGATAAATACCCCATTTTTGAAAGACACTACAAAACACAGCCTGCGGGCAAGAATACCCGAGACTCAAGTCCATGGGCAAAAATGCCCGCAGGAAAACAGACCCCTAAACACAATCCGTGTAAAAAGAAACGGAGAGAGGTACTACAACTCACCAAGACTGTGAACTTCCCAGTTTCCAGCTCCCCTTTGAGTGGGTCGGTGGTAGGGTCAAAAGTGCACAGTCCTTCTCGATATCGAGTGTTCTGTTTTTGTGCCGAACAAGAAAAGAAAGAATAAGACAATCGTTACAGCCGAGATGCGCGGGAGACAAATATTTATGCGGCTCATCCAAGTCTTAGAGTACCCGCATAAATGCTCGTTCTACTACGAGTCTAGCAGAACTAAAGGTAAACTCCAGCAACAAATACGCACTGTTCTCACTACAAACTGTTGCCAATGAAAAAAAAAAGGTTGACAATATGAAGTTGACAAAAAATACAGTATTGTCAACGAACATAGTCGCCGGCACAAATGGCAGACAACAAACAAACCCTGAAAGTACACACGGTGACTATTAATTGTACTGTTGACAGACCTTTCCTGTGCAAAAGCACCCCGGGCGGACCTGCCTAAGATCGTACGAGTCGTCAAACAAACGGCCTTCCACACCTCTGTATGTCACCAGCGGGCAGGTGGATGAGCGACCTGGGGAGTTGTGAAGGGCTTTCCAGTCGCCAGCGATCGAGATTATTTTTTCGTTGCTTCAAGGTTGAAACTTCCTTTGCAATGAGTAGCATCTGTGATCAGCGGTAGATTCTAGGAACAGTGCCGGGAAAGCTTCTCTTTTACCCTTGTTTTCGCGGGGAAAAAAAAAAAGAAAAAAGTGCAATGGAGGCCAGCCCCGTCAAGGTGTTTTTGCGCGAGCTGTGTGCCGCGTAAGTGTCTAGTGTCGCACAAAACATTCTCACTTGTGCTCGGAATAGTTTGTAGAGTTATGGGTTTGAGTACGCGGCCACATACTTTATGGCTGCATGCTGCGAATTCAGTATCCTTCCGCAGCTGGAACAGCTTCAAGAGCAACAAGCAGTGACTCGAACCGGCTGTGACCGCTACAACACCCGTCCAAAGAGGAGCGCTAATAATATTGAGGAAAAATAGAGCACATTCTAGCACTATGGTCAACATTTGACTCGGTCACATTTGCTGTTCCAATCGCTTCAATGATTTTTTTTTAAACGCGACCGATCTGTTGAAGACGAGAAGTAAAATGTCTAAAAAAGTTCAAGTCTGAGTCTATACATGACTTTCGACACACTGCTATTTGTGTCTGGTATTACAGAGGATCAGGGAGCGGATGTTGAGATTGATTAATATACAATAGAGCCATTGCCTGGTTTGTGAAATGGGTGGCATGCAATTTTTTCTCACATGAGACGTGGTGAAAATGTCTTTATTTTATTCTACTGCAGACAAATCTTATATAGGGCTGAAAAGTTTTTAGAACTATGAAAATAATAATGTCGTTGAGGGGAGGCATGCAAATTTACAGCTGATAAAGGCTGTGCAAAACCAAGACGAAGAAAACATCACTTTTTTAATTAACTTGGAGTGAATCTGGGGGAACGAGATAACATTTTGGAATCAGGAAGCCATCCCACATACAGATGATGCCTTTGGATTATGTTATAGCTAAAGAATTTAACGGAGTTCACCTTTAAGGTTAGGATCCCCCATTGTGGCACATCTACTTTTAATGCCTCCTTCTTAAACCAGGCCTCCATTGATTGGAGTCGCCTTCCCAAAGTCATAGCTTCAATTACTAACACCACTGACTTTAGAACTGAAAATTACTACTTTGTTAAGAGCACATACACCAGGAGAAAGCTATTTTTTATTATTTACAATAACTGAACGAAATTTCCACAGTTTCTAGTGCTTGATCTCTTTTTTATATATCTGGTGTTAGTTTCGAAATAGGTTGTTTTTATCTCTTGGATGCTAGGCACATGCAGAACAAACCATGCTCTTTTACACACTTGGGACATGGCAACAGACCTAAAAGAGCCTAGTAAAATAGAGTAACTCGCTCCTCAAAAACCACTGAGTGGTCTAAAAGAAGCGAAAATAATATGTGCTTATTTTATATTATGTGTGCAACAGAACAAAAATAATGTGTGCTCGACTAATTTTATTTTAAGGTAATTGAAAATTGCAATAACGCCATTTTCAAAGGGCTAACAAAGGTTTCTGAAATTTTGCATAAATAAAAAAAAATATACAATTAACCAAACCTGTAGATAGTTGCATTGTACATACTATTCTAAAGCATATGCATGCCAAATTTTGTTATGATACAACAATATTAAGAACAAAAGTTCTTCTGTGCAAACTCTGAAGTTGCCCCAAAATGACATAAATACATTCAAATATGCATTTGAATGTTACCCAGTGGGGGTCCAGACGTCCTTACCCCCCCTCTCGAATTCCGCACGTCTAAAATTTTAGGGTGCGACGAAAGGGAAAGAGGGGGGGGGGGGGGGGGGTTTTAATATCTCGTACGCTGACTCCCCCATCGGGAAATACCTGTATCCGTCTCTAATGTTACCATAGATGTGTAGCAACTATTTCGCTGCAAGAAAAATATTTTTTTGTTAATTTCTTTCGAGAAATTGAAGCTACGGAAAACTGCGAAGGAGAGGAGACGGCTAGGCCTACTTCTCCACATAAATGTGATGGCGGGCGACGTCGCAGTTTGAAAAACCGCACACACAAAAATGGCTTAATTGTTTGCCGTTCTGGGTCACCAGGAGTTCTTCAAGTGCTTCTTTGACTAATCTCTCTATTCTAATCACCCCTTAATATTTTCATAAATAAAATCTGGGGATTCAGAGATAATGAAACACCATTAAACCCAAAATCACACTTTCTCCAAAAAAAGATTGCCGTTCCTTGACATGCGTCTCTGTTTAAATTATGTATCATACTAATTTTATATTTTTTCTTTTTATTTGTATCTTTTATTTTATGTTTATACTATTTTATGGGCAAAATGTTGACTGATCTCCGCGTGCCTCCAACCTACGACATATTTCTCATTTCTCATACTGCGCTTTTCGAGACACGGTACTATGCAGAGGCACCTGGACCTCGCACGCCGAGCCTTGCTCGGCCTTTGTTCGTTCGAACTGCAACTTCCTTGTTCCAGAGGTCGTCGAATGCCGAGTTCATTAGCGATTTCTACATCTCAGTGTTCTTCATGAAGCGCGAAGTTGAACGGCATAAATATTCGCCATTCTGAAACAACGAAGGAGCATATGGAAACAGCAGTCGCTAAAAATAAGCGATATCCTATCAAAAAGCGATGCCACAAGATAAAACTTTACGGGTATACTCGGGCGTGGCACCGCAAGGGTTGAAAGTTTATGTGTTTGGTTTCACGCGAAGCGCAAGTTCGTCTGCTTCTTTTAGCAGGGGTTGTGGAGACTTCAGAACGCCGAGCTCCGATTGGTTCTGATTGAAGGCTAGTGGGGAAACCTCAAGGCAGCTTGCTTTTATATCTACCCACTATCCTTCAATCAGAGCCAATCAGAGCTCGGCATTCTGACATCACCACAACCCCTGCAAAAGAAGCAGACGAACTTGCGCTCCATATATTGCGGCAAATGTAAACCAAATTACCGTATAAACAACTTTTCCCAGAATTCGTGATTTTTGGCGCAGATATAGAGCTACACCATTCAAAAGTCGAATTTCTCATTTCGCCAAAAGTTTGGAAGTCTTATGAAAGTTTGCGACGTCCCCAGCTACAGGAGTTTACGGGAGGCGGCGAAGAGCCAGCCATTAAAACACGTTCTGTGCTAGAAAGGAAGAACATTAGGAAGGTACACAAAACAAGATGGCCGCCCACCTCGTGAGCTTCGTACAGGGCCAGGGCGCGTCGAATGTCAAACTTGCGGGCCATCATAAACTTGACCGCCGCGTTCCATGTCAGCAGGCCCGCGCTGTGGCTTATCCTCTGGTCGTTCACCACCTTCATGAAGTCCTTAACGAGCTGTAACGGGGGAAACCACAAAGAGTGTGAAGCTCTCGTGCGCAATTGGTCGGAGACACTGTGGGAGCTGGCGGCGGGGGAACGTTGTGGCTCGTTTCTCATGCACGACGTCGCATCGTGTACTGTCGTGACTTAACTAGGTGACAGAGCCACAGGTAGCTATAACTCGAGAGAGTTCAAAACTTTGCAGCTAGACTTGTCTTTGAAAATTACTGTCATGAACTTGGCACGAAAAGTAATTGAAAACCTCTCGAAGCATGAAAAAAAAAGTTACGGCTCAAACGATTTCATAACGTCTATTACTATATAGTTGGTATACGGCACGAAAACTACATTTTCTCCACAAATTATGTATAACGTTGAGTCGATCGTGAACGCAAGGCGCACAAATAAAAATGCGAGGCAAACCAGTTCCGGTCATCTTTTGTCCCTAAAGTTACCGTAACATCCCAAGAGATAGTCCACCTAAAATCAGGAGCAAATCAGGTGAAAATATGAAGTGGGCTAATTATCGGTGTACAATAGAGAAAAGTTGAAAACATTCTACCTTTAGGCCAGTTGTCCCCGTCTCAAGACTGTTATCGTGGCGAAGGTCAACGAAGCAAAGGTAGCTGAACTTCCCAGTCAGCAACGTTCGCTAGTTTCCCGCTATAGCTAACTAGACGCAACTAGACACCGAGGCCATCACCGACTCCGACACTACGGTTACTAGAAGCAAGCCATCTTTCGGTGTTTAAAAAAAAATAGCGAGTCGAGCCAAAAATAAGGGACAGGCTATCTTTGAGGAATGCAACTTCTAATCGCCGCATTGTGAGATGTTCCTTTTGTTTTCGAATGTCCCTTGTTAGCGCTTATGCGGAGTGTAAACGTGCACTTTCTGAGATGCTCGTTTTTGTTTTACTGCTGCTGCATATGTTCTTGTTGCATGCATCTCCCCCGCTGTAATGCCGCCAGACACTGCAAGTGAATAAATAAGTAAATAAATATAAGGCTCATTCAATTTACTGGCACCAGCTTGCACCAGTGAAGAAAAGTGCAGCATGGTGCAGAAAAGTGTGGGGCAATGTACCCCGTGAGCGATATGAAGGTGAACAGCCCTCTTCTTGTTTTTGATGCCCCTGCAAGTTTTGGAAGAAGCTCTCTTCCAGAAGAGGGCTAGAACGCAAAGTTTAGACCCCAAGCCACATACCATTTGAGACGTTGGGAGTTAATACAGCTTTAGGGAGCCATAAAACAGCCAGGAAACCAGGTAAGGAGTTCACCTTCATAATGCCGGCGGGTGTACTTCCGGTTGTGCTTATGTATATGCTGCAATCGTTAATCGTGTGCGCCGGTCTGAACCAAGTGCAACTGGTGGAGGAGGTGCAGGTAAAATCGAACGCAGCAAACAGCTTTTCTTCCGTACTACTATACCCCCTTCAGGGCACTCTGTCTTTAGGTTGAGAGGCTGTACCCTAAGCAAGGGTACAGCCTCGGACCACCATAACGAAGTAGGCGTGCCACATTGTCGCACTAACTTGTTTTTCGATTCATTTGTCCCAAGGACTAGTAACGAATGGAACCACCTGCCCACCTCCATCGCAACGACTACCGACAATTTCACTTTCAGATCTGCCATTGAGTGTTGTGTACCTTCTCAATAACCTGCGTTGTCTGCATCTTTTATTCTCTGTTAAATTTCTGAATTAACTACCTGTTGTTTGTTTTTATGTTTTCCACCACTCCCTTCTGTAATGCCCCCTGGGCCTTGAAGGTACAGAAATGAATAAATAAATAAAAGGGATTCCATCTTCCCAATCTCAAGGGACCTCGTCTGCCTTGAACTGCAGCTCGGGCATCCCCTGCAGCCTCGGCATTGACGAAATAGAGCGGCGTAGAGCGTACACACCTCGAAAACAATAATAAACCCGTTAGGATTGGCACATAGTTATGTGTCAATGGGTGACTCAGATCTGCTGAAATAAAACTTAAACTTGAAAAAAAAACAAAAAAACATGAACTTAAAGGGGCCCTGCAATCATATTTATGCGTCCAGCTTTTTTGCGGTTTCCACGTCTCTTGTGGTTCGGGCAAGCCAGCGGGCACGGAGAGAGTAAATAAATATCAGCGCGTCATATTTTAACCGGACGACGCGGAAACCACCTCCACCGACGAGGGCGACCCGCGGTACCAAAAGCGCTCAAAATGTGACGTCTTTGGTCCTGGGCTTACTACTGGTCAGAGCCGCTAAAAGCTTCTTTTTAGTCGAAATGCAAAATATAAGTGGCGTGTACCGTTTCAATTATTTATAAAAGTAGTTTTTCTTCAGTATTTTAGATCAAAAAAGAAACGAATGCAGTTCATAAAGTACAGAAACAAGAAATGACCCGTCGACATACCCGCCACCAAGCGGTGGAAAAAGCGGCACATACTAGAAAGGAATAGTGGGATCAGGCGCCGACACGGAAAGGTCCCGGACGTACGCGGCGGCGTTGCGGCCGTGTACCGGCCCGAGGATCCGACCGGTTCCGAGCGTTCCCAAGGCTCTCGGCGCGGGCTTGGATGGCGATTTAGACCTTTGGCGGTATGGCAGCGCGAAGTGGCTCCCGTTCTGAACTGATCTTTACCCCACGTTTGCTGTCGTTTGTGGCCAATGAAGTGTCATGCCGAATTAGTGTTTAATCTCGCAGCAAATGCAATGAGAGCCGCTCTGGCTGCCCGCTGCATACAGCCTATCCAGAACACGCTTCAATGGCGCCCTCTCGCGCCGTCAACTCGGAGCGCGGCAGCCGTGAGCGCTCGATCAGCTCACTACTTCTCCTCTAGTTCACGGCCACTCTCAAGCAACCAAGGATGTCATGAGGGAGGTTATTTTTTGCTTGTTTTTGTAATATTAATTTGCCTATAACTTTTAAAATAAAGGGAATTTCGAGAAAATAAAAGTTTCACGAAGTGACTACGTTCAGTGCGCTCAGGTTCGGTGCAAATTAAAAATTAGTAAAAAAGTCATTGCAGGGCCCCTTTAAGGGCAGGGACGGTCAAGGAAATATGGGACATTGGGGGAACAGACGAGGGTGCTCTGGGTAATAGGGCAAGGGCCCTATTGCTCAATATAGATGCCAATCATCGGTTAATCAATTTCGCTACTTTTCAGGGTCTGCGATCAACACCGTAACGCTGGGATGTCACGAGTGCATACCCGTCAGTTTGTGAGAGCAAACTGCATGGCCCCAGGAAAGAGAAGGTTGAGGCTCGTTGCGGCATTTTCCACAGGAAGAGAACCAAATGTGGAACCGGTACCAACAACTCTTCCGTGCCTAAGAAATTCGAAAGGTCCTTAATCAGTGTGCCGTAGACCCCGTTTAAAAAGTCTGGCAACAGCGAAAAAAGCTAGATCGTGTCAAAGGTTATTCTGGTGAAATCCCACACTGCCTGGTGATAGTTAGGGGGAGACAATTGGCTTAGAAGGGCAGGAGGAATCATACGTTTGTCTTTTTAGACTTAGGCTAGGTGGCGCAAGGTACCGCCCATTACAAAGGGTATAGCCATTAACAGCCATCCATCCATCCATCCATCCATCCCTAGGGTACACTGGGCAGCATATGCTGTTTAGAAGGAATTGCCGGTTCGTTTACGTCGCCCAGGTACGAGTTTCGTGGCGTGGTAAGGAGGTCGTCGGAGAAACACAACTGTCGTTTCTTCATCACGCGTCGACAACTTGGCTAAACTTTACGGCCGGTGACGCAAACACGTGGCCATCGCTGCTGCCTTTAGATGATAAAAGCCGATCAACGCTAATTACCGCCGCTCCGGAGCCGACAGTTTTGGTTTCGACCGATCTTCTGAAAGCCAAAGGTTCGACATGAAGAGACCACGCAGCACCGAGAAAATAAAACTATGCTCTGTAGTTTGGGTGCACTGGCTACGCTTGGCCGTTGCATTCCAAACGTCGAAGAAAATAGGCCAATAAACCACGGTGCCTGGAACGTCTCTTCGACCGGTGCGTCCACCAGCGCCTAAAAATGGACCCTCGACTTCCGCCCAACGACGTCGTACAAGCGTCACGCTGTCTTTGGCCACGATGCTGGTGCCGCCACAACAGCAGTGGTAAATGTGGAAGACGTTCGTCCTGCTGCACGTCGCTCTCTAGCTTGACGGTCCGAGGCGCCTCCGGCAGCCGGGGTTCGGGACGCCGTAACACCAGCGACAATCGCGTTTGGTCGCGCCTTTTTGCCGATACTTCTACGACCAACGACCAGGATCTCGACGTTTGTCGGCATAACACTACGGCGCTTGTGAGGTCATTTGTGGTCGCTTTGGGACCACATTTGATGCATGGGCGGAATAGGACACCAAATGCACCGGTCGAAGAGGCGCTGCAGGCACCGTAAGTAAAACGAGAACATCCGCTGAATTGAATGCATCTCCCGCTCAGCCGGCTGGGCCGGTTCGACGACCTGTTTCCAGCGACCATGTTTGTCCAAGAGCAACGCCTGCTGTTTGTCGCTGGCATTGCGGATACTGATACCGCGCTGTCAGAGAACAAGACTCAATCACAAATTACAAAAAATTTCAGTTTGCTGGGGTGACCTTTACGTATTTTGGAACCATATTAGATTACGCCACTCCAGTGTGAACTGGGGGGCTACGCTTGACAAATGTTTCGTTTCTCCTAAGAAGAAACATAAGAGACCGGATTGACAATATCGCGTCTGATTGGCTATAGGCTCAAATGACGAAAGGGGTAACTATCATCATTTGAGCCTCTAAACAAACAGACACGATATCGCCACTTCCGTCACTTCTGTTTCTTTTTGGAGAAACGAAACATTTGTCAAACATAGCCCCCCCCCCCCCCCGTTTTGTTCCATGATACCTGCATGCCTGTATCAACCAAGGTAATGCGAGAGTTTAATTTTCTTTTTTCTTTCGCAGACGTGTTGGCAAATTTTGCGACCTATTGCGCTGTGGTCTTGCCTGGGGAAACCACAGTTATTTCAAGCTGCCAGCATTGGACCAGTAAAACAGATTTGCTCTTCTCTTGGGTACTCCACATTAATGATCAAAATCATGGACCGCGTGTAACCACACCTGCTATCGATCTCCCATGAGGGTTACCCTAGGCTTTAAAGAAACAGATATCTAATAGCAGAGAACAGGCGAGCCTGCGCTTTTAGTTATTTTGTGTTAGGTTTGAATGATTAGCAGCGTGGATAATAAAACGTACCACAAATTTCACTCGCTTCCCTCAAGTTCACAAAGGAGCGACATTGGCAAAAGGAAAGGAGAAACAAAAAAATTGCATAAGTCTTGAAGGTGCAAACGTTACCTCATCACGAGCGTGGGAAGTCAACTCCAAAACCAACTGTAAATAGTCGCCGAACCCAACCTAAAGGGCTAAAAGCCGTGATATACTAACCCCAATGTTGGCGATAATTGATTATGCTAAAGAAACCGAACTTCGAGGTCTATGTATCCGAGTTTATTCGCGAAACAGGGTCTGTGGTCGAGCATCGTCATAGACCGCAGACACCTCAAGACTCGGTTCGTTCGGGCTATTCACCGATGAGCTCAAAGACTGTGTGTGACCTAACGTAAGGCTAGTGGGGTAAGGTAACGCCACGTATTTCTTTCGCGAACGGCGCAAAAAACGTGCCCCGAAATCTTACTTGTTCCTCTTGTGAAGTCAGCGATGCAGCCATGTTGTATTTCATACTCCGCTCCGGCGGCTTTGGGCTTCGGGTGACATTTGACGGGTCGGCGGCTCGCTCAAAAACTTGGTCCGCTCGCGTCGACCGCGGCCGAGAGCGCGACGGAATAGGTGCGGGCTCTTCGGCGGTGGACCATGCCTTAGCTACGCAACGAATAAAATGATAGAGATGAAACGAAACACGCGAGAAATACACCGAACAGGGGATCCTTCACAAGTCGCGACTCCTGTCAGCCATCTTTGTGCTTTTTGTTTTGTGTGTGCCTTGTTTTTTGAGGCAGGTCGGTCGAAGCGGCATCGAAGGGAGTTTGTGCGGTTTCGTATCTCATGGCAACCAACTTTTATTAAAACATATACCAATATATACTTCCAATTAACCAAAGTGAGTTACAAAACCAGGATACTTTTTGCGTGTTATTTTGAAATAAACTGAGGGCTGTGAGGCTGAAGTTTCGCCGCGCATACGCAGCGCCACTCTTGCCCCTAGTGAGGCTCGTCCATACTAGTTTGGCGTACGCGGATTAGCAGACGACAAGGGAGGCTGGTGCACTTGTTGTCCAATGTTGTCGTGCTATGTGGTCGCTGGAGCGCGTACAGCATTTCGGAGACGTGAGTCAGGTACCATAGCCGTGCTGGCATTTAGGTTCGTAAAGAAGGTACCGAAATCAAAAGGACGGGGTGCCAGGTGTTGTTGCGTAGTTAGATCGCACGGCATCGTATTAAACAGAGAGGAGTGTCAAGAACGCAGTGGAAGCTTCTCGCACCCCTTTCCACTTCAGCAGAGCGAACAGTGGAGAGGGACCACCTTCCTGCTAGGGCAAGGGGGGGTAGAGGAAATTTATGAACACATACACCCCGAACCGAGTCTCTGTTAACACATTTATTATCCTGTGCTGTTTATACACCTGAAATTGTATTGCAGCAATTAAGTTAAAATAGTTTTCACTCCGAGTGATATATTGTCTATGCCAAATATGTTATTAAATCTGTTAAAGTTGAAAGCATAAAAATCAACTCCAGCAGCCCTCAATGCATCAAATGAAATTAAGAAACGGTAAATCTTTTTCGGGTTATTGTTTCTTGTCAATGCTTACTTTTATCAACATGTCCTGCACAAAATTTAACATTATGTTCTTTTTCTTTCTGCCTTGTGTGGCTGTCTTCATCAAAAAAAAAAAAAAGAAATCTAGAGCAACCCTTTCGCGTTAAAACAGCGAGAGGAAAAGAATGGGAATAAATGATCAATTTTCTTTTACAATATCACTCTTTAACCAAGCACCTTCGACGTTGAATGAGCAGCGAAACCGGTGAGTCGACTATCTTTGAGTCGCGTCTAAAAAAGAAGCCATTCAAAATGTTTTACACTTATTTCGTGTTCGCCAGCAAAATGACTGTTCAGTGTGGTTCACTTTTTGGCGCATAAGGTTGTTGGGGTGTAAACAGGAAGATCTGAGTTTTCGTGCATATACAGTAAATAAAATGGGCACGAATTACTGCTCCAAGGTATTGAAAAGTACTGTGAAAGTAATTTCATTACTTTTTGGAAAGTAATTGGAATGTAATTGAATTACTTTTAGTCAGCGCTAATTTGTGATGTAAGTTAATTTTTACAGTTTTCATAAAAGTAAGTGGTGATGTAATTCAATTAAAGATTTGCAGATCTCAGAAAAGTAATTAGTAAGGTAATTTAATTATAACTACTGAAAATATTTTTGAAATCTCTGAACTACGTGTACCAAATAAATTCAGAGTCATGGGTTATCTAAAAATCGCATTCAATATTAAAAAAAAAAAAAAAATCCATGAATTTTATTTTTTGTCGTCTAATGTTCCAGACTTCAGCGGAAGCATGTACACGTCATTCTTAATATGGCGACCTACCGCGGGCTGGACGACGCGATGGCGGTGCACGACGGAACAAAGTTGCGACGGACGTGGGACAGCTGCACCGAAATTGTCGTTCCCCATACCAGCCAATCGACCTTCAGGCGCAGAATATCGACCGGAAGGAATATAAATTTGAAACAATCGCACGACAAACGTTTCACGCAAGTTCGTCGTGGTCGTCGTCTGCTTCAAGCGCCGGACGAGCGGAGAAAAAAACAAACGCCGTCGGGTGTAGCCACGTGACTTCCGGCCATGAGCTTCCGTGCTTGTTTTCGGTTTCGGTTTCAAGCGGTTGAGGTTTTTTTTGTTTTGTTTTTTTCGTTTAATTAAAAATTATACGTGTCTTCGCAGAAAATTATGGGGTGGGGATTCTCCTGACACCATATTAAATCGCAGAGCAAAAAAAGTATGAAAATAATAATGGGAAGGATCAGTGTTCCTTAAAGTGGAGATTATAGCTAAAGCTACAAGCACGGACACGCCCGCGTTCTTAACTTTGAGACGCGCTTTTCCGTCGCAAGAGCTCGTTTTGCGGAAGAACGTTTCAAATTCACGGTCTCGTGCTCTCGTGCTTGTGGCATTGGATGCAGTCTCAGCTTGATGGCTGGTTCAGACATTTGCTTCGGTAGCATACAATGCAACCAAAACGACCACTACGACAAATTCACCGGTTCAATCGTGACTCACGATTGGTTTTTGAGGGCACAAGTTTCATTGCTTGCCACCTTGTAACGACGAACTCTTTTCCTCGTGACATTGTCTTTGCTGTCGTTTTAGATGCTGCGAATGTCTGAAACAGGCATTCGCAGCATCTAAAACGGCCGTCGCAAATGTCTGAAACAGGCATAAGGGTGAACGGAGTGTAGACACTTCGCTGAAAGGGAAGCGAAAACTGTTCATGAAAAAAAAAAAAAGAAAAAAAAACGAGTTAGAGGTGAATTTTATAGTATTTTTATCCCGTGAATTTGAATATCACGTCCGGGTTCCCCAAAGATGTAACAAAACGCGAGAAATCACGAAAAACTTCCGACCAGTCGTCGCGTCATATCCAGAAGTCTCCTCCCCCAAGCGCGTGTCGGTCATGTGGGCGTATTGCGTGCAATGGAAAATTATACAGCAGTGGGGACGTCTTTTTTTATGTTTTTTGGAAATAGCAAGAGAGGGCAAGCATATATATGATATGCCCTCAAGATACTCTAAAGCGGGGATTTCGAAACGTCGGGACATGACGTCACGCTCCGGGAAGGAGAGGCATCAGCGGTACTTTAAAACGTTTAAAACTGATTTTCTGCAGCCTCCGTGCGCACCAAATTTAAAAGAAATAATCTCGATAATCGTAATCCTGTAGGGAGGCCAAATGAAGAAGATTTCAGTGTTTTTATTTTCTTCAATAGAATAGTTTCCCTTCGATATTCCATTCCGCTCCAAATACAGTCGAACAAAACAATTAAGGCTCCAATCCACGCTGTGAAGTTGGTTGGACAGCGAAGCTGTGGTATTACTTGCAACGAGCGCCCTCATCGTTAGAGACCCTATTTATGGCGACCGTCACCAGGTGACGCTCCAGTCTTTGACATAACAGGCGATCTGCAATTTATTAAAAAAAAAAAAAAAAAAAAAAACGAACAATGGTTACGTTAATACCGCGCAGCTTGAAATGTGGATGAAACGTTTAACCACTCCAAGTGAACGACAAAATAACGAAGGAGTGCGCGATCTGCTAAAATGTTTAGAGTGTTGTTGGAAACCAAATTGCCTCCTCCTAGATGTATTATTGTGCAGCCGGAGGCCCTCGTCAAATCGCCAACTTTGTTGTCCATCTAGCATTTATGCTTTCTAGCGTTTCTAGCACAGGTGACATATGCAAGCTCAGCAGGCTTGCAATGACGGTGGGACCGGAAGACTACACTCTAAGAAAAAATGGAGGAAAAAAGTAGCAACGGCGCGCCTTCCTCCCTTCTACCGACGCGCCTCCAAGCGGACACGAGAAAAGGGGAGGAACGAAATATTTTTCTCCTTCTCCAGGCAGACGGGAGAAAGCTTTCGCCCTCCCGACTCATCTTCTTTCGGTTTCGTTTTTCGAGCAGGTCGCGCACGTTGTTTAATAAATAGCTGTTGAGTCGATTGAGCTTCAGCAGCAGCGAAGGCCGCCTGTAATTCCGTCTTCTAGTTTAAACGTCCAGAACATTTCGGTTGCATTGACATTTTTATCACTAATTTTATCAAACGAGCAAACGAAGCCGCTAGAAACAGCGAAGTCCCGGAGCAGTGCCAGCAGCGCCACGTACACTGGGGGATGGCCGTCTCCGGATTGCGTGACTGGCGTGACTCGCGCGGCACGGAACTACAGCCCCTACAGCCACTGCAGGCTGCAGCACTACAGACTACAGTAGCGAAAGCACGCGGAACTGTGTCGACGTTTTCGACGTTATGGAAACCGCAGGAACTGCGTCCAAGAAAGGCAGGTTTTGCTGCCGGCTGCCTGGGTGCCTTCCCCCCTGAGTTTGGTTCTGTTTTCCGATGCCGAGTGCAACCGGCGTTCAACGTGGTTTTGTGTTTGTGCGTGTCAGCAACATAGCTGCAACATCGTGATGACAGTGTCGGGTTGTGAACAGAAGACTGGAATTATCGCCGATGTGACCATGTGTTCGCGTATCAGTGGTGTAACAAGAAGATAAGATCGTAAACTGTTGGGCATTGATGCCGCTGGTCGGGTTGTGATCGGAGGGGGCGGGGTGTCGCAGGTTGACATTCCGCTTTACATTAAAAAGTTTAATACCACTTGAGGGATTACGTGCAATCGATCAACGTGCGGATAGTCATGGTCTGAACAGTAGAAGCTCCTATCGTACAGTGGCCAATGTGACTGTCGGAATTGTCTCGTCCCCGACAGCGATTGTACTCAAGGGCAAGGACTGAACAGTACGAAATCGTGACGTAAAGTACGTATATTTACAGTATGGAATTTCGGCATTAAAAACAATAGTAGGTAAAATCGAAAAAAAAGCTACCCTTTATTTTGCTGTTTAATTATACGGTTGCTGGAGAAACTGCCCTCCGTGGTGCGCTGGGATGAGCGCTAGAAGTTTTCGGGCTCGCCACGGCGTAGTTCCGTACACTTAAACCTGCCGCAAGTCGCGGCTTTGACTACATTCAAGTTGATCGAAAAGCAATTTCTCAGTCCGTGAAGCATCACTTCCAGCTACTGAATATCCGCTCTACAGAGATTAATTCAAACGGCAATTGCAGCTCTGCGCGAACAGCACAAATAGAAAAACAAATAGAAATACAAGCTACGACGTGCCGTGTGGGGAAACAAACTCATGGCTTCGAACCGCATTGGAGCGGCTTGATTTATTGGCTTTCAAATA